AGTTGATTTGTTTGCCTGTGTTGTAGAAATTTACCTTTTATTTCTATTTTAATTTAGATTTTATATGATTGCGACGATATTTTTAGGATTTCCTCCCGATTACGATATCCAGAATATCTCTACTTTAAGTTTTTTTGTTGTTTTTGTTATTCAAATGTATATACTGAAATCGGTTCTCACGATTGTAAAGATATAAAATATACGGGAATTTTAAAACATTAAATCGTGATTCTGAGGTTGGTGTTGTTTTCGTAGTGACTATCGAGCGAATTTAGTATTATATCTTAACGTCTAACATTGGTATATTTATATATCTTGATCTTGATTTTTAGATAAGTTACTTCGAAGTATATAATTCTCATAGTCTGATTACAGGTAATGGATTCGTACAATCTCATTTCTGATCTACATGATGATAAAACCAATTGGCGTATTAGAGTTAAGGTATTAAAAAAATGGGTTGAGAAGTCTGGAACGGGAGTAGATTCTTTGCAATTTCTGTTGATGGATGAAGAGGTTGGTATTTCATATTTTAAAACTATAACATACTTTACATTAAGTTCAGTTTTATAGATAATATTTTCTACCGCTTTAACCATTTTCTATACAAAGGGTGAACGAATTCAAGCCTATGTATATAATGAAGATCTATGTAAACATTATGAGAAGGCAATCGAAGAAGGAGACCATAAAAGTATCTCAGAATTTATCGTATTCGATGATCCTCTCGAAGAACCAAACACTCTAATTGGCATTAGTATCAAGATATGTATGAACACTGTTATCGTCGATACAAATCCAATTTCAGAAGATGATTCCGTAGGGTCATACACTTTTGCTGACATACTTGGCCAGAAAATGGAACCTGATCAACCCATTGGTATATTTTATCTTTAATTACGTTTTTATTATTTATGTCTTATATATTTAACTTTTTTATACTAATTCATTGTTTTTAAAAAAAAAAAATTATAGACATTTTAGGAGTTGTCATTTCTATTGGCGAGCTGATAACTGTAAAAGACGATAACAAGTATATCAAGCGGACAGGAAAAAAAACAGCAAGCCTCACCTTTACAATTAAAGATAACAAGTACGTTTTTTTATCTTATAATCTGAATGTAGAAATATGCAAAAATAACGATGCTTTGTTTTTGTTGCATAGTGGTTTGTTCTTGGATTGTACCGCGTTAGGACAGATTGCTATCGAATTCAATGACAAGTTCTGGACTGATGAACAATTACCACTGACATGTTTTCTATCGGACTGGTCTGTTAAAAATGAAAAAGGTTTGCTTTTATTCTAACATAATGTTTAAGAGTAATTAATAATCGTAATTATATAAGTTCTTATCATACATGATTAAATTTATTTTGTAGGTCGTATCTATCTAATGTCTAAGGGAGGGGTATCTAGGTTCGAGCTAAATCCTAGATTCCCACGAGCCATAACTTTTGGTCGAAGGTAATTATAGTAATGTAAAAACTTATTATTATTTAATATTTGTCATTATTTTAAAAAAGCTATTTTTGTTTACAGGTTTTGGAAAAAAGAAGAAAAATCAAAAGTGGTTATTAATCTAGGAACTGATGATGACGAAGCAGCTTTGTCATCAACAAGGAAGATGGATTTCGAGATGAGGGGAAAAAACTAATGTTCTTTTAGTGGTGTTTATTATATTATATTATTGTGAACATATTCGTATTTTTTTCGTCTTTTAATACTTCATTATGAACTTTATATTACGTCTATGCTTATTTTGTTTATCGAATCATATTTATGAAATCGAAAATATACGTTTATCGTTAGTATATTTGCCAAAAATTAAAATTTGCAAAAAATTAAAATAACCAATTACATAATTTCTATTATTAAGTAATTATTATAAATATTAAGATAAATAAATAGAATATGTCCAAATCTCATATTGTGATATTACCTTCTATTATCTCATCTTACAAAAATCTAAAATATTTTAGTTACTGTATATTGGTTCACAAAATTTGTTAAAATTACTTAGGACAAAATATTATGGTAGGTCAGTCACAATTTATAGCGTGGATGGAGGCAAACAAGGAACATGCCTTGGGAAAAGAGCTAACATATGCTGATTTCCCAACAAAATTCGTCTGGATCTCAAAGCAGCGGCAATGGAGGATACGAAAACAAGGTTTTGCCATAGGCAGACTGGTGTATGTCTCACCTTCCGCTGAAGACGCATATCATTTGAGGATTCTTCTCAATATAGTCAAGGGCCCTGAGAGTTTTGATGACTTAAAAAAGGTTAATGGTGTTATATACTCTTCCTTCCGAGAAGCATGCTTTGCGCTTGGTTTGTTAGACGATGATAAAGAATACATCGAAGGAATTAAAGAGGCCAGTTTTTGGGGAACTGGAAAGTTTCTTCGTAAATTTTTTGCTATAATGCTTCTTTCGAGTAGTGTAGCAGTTCCGATCAACGTCTGGAATGCTACTTGGAAAATATTAACCGAGGATTTCTTATATCAGAAAAGGCGTGAAGAGAATGACCCAGGTAAGATGGATTTGAAATTTAAAACTATTTTACAAGATTCACATTATCTTAGTTGCTAACAGACTTATTTGTATATCTAGGTTTGGTGTTGACTGAAGCCCAATATAAGAATCTTGGTTTGTCAGATATAGAGAAGTATATGCGCAGAAACGGTCATTCATTATCCGACTATAAAGGAGAGATGCCAGTCCCTGATGATATTGGAAAGTATAAGAAATCAAATCATATAATTCGGGATGAGAAATCATACGATCGTGCAAAACTTGCAAACGATCATGTCAAGTTGTTTTCAACAATAACCAATGAACAGAAGGATATCTACAATGAGATAATGGATGCAGTTACAAGAGGTATCAGTGGAATGTTTTTTGTTTATGAATATGGTGGGACAGGTAAAACGTACCTATGGAGGCTTTTAGGCGCTGCTCTTCGTTCTCAAGGAAAAATAGTTCTCAATGTTGCATCAAGTGGCATTGCAGCATTGTTATTAGAGAGAGGAAGAACAGCGCATTCTCGGTTTGGAATACCCATAGTTGTAAACGAGTATACATTCTGTAATGTGAGTTCTGGATCACACCAAGCAGAGCTGATTGAAGCAGCCGATCTTATTATATGGGATGAGGCTCCGATGATGAGCAAGCATTGTTTTGAGACATTGGATCGGACTATGCGTGATATACTAAAGTGTGATAAGGTCTTTGGTGGAAAGGTCGTTGTCTTGGGTGGTGACTTTCGACAAATACTCCCTGTTATTGTCGGAGGCAATAGCTCAGAGACTATATTGGCAACTGTGAATTCTTCTCATATTTGGTCTGATTGCAAAGTTCTGCAGCTAAAGACAAATATGAGACTGCTTCGTGGCGATAATGATTTTAATAATCAAGAAATTGAAGAATTCGCCAAGTGGATCTTGGATATTGGTGATGGAAAACTAAATATTCATGATACCATAGAAGATGAATTAGAAATTCCAGCGGATTTGCTGATAAGCGGAGAAGGTGATCCTGTTAAGAGAATAGTCTCGGAGATTTATGGTCAATCTTACACAACCACTCGTGAACCAGTTTTTTTTCAGGAAAGGGCAATACTCAGTCCACGGAATCAGGATGTCGACGTTATTAATGAATTCATGCTAGCAGAACTCAAAGGTCTTTGTTATATGATTTATCACAATTCCTTTTAATACGTATTTATATTATAATTAAAATATATCAGTACTAACATAGTTTGAATTGTTTTTATTAGGTGAGGAACATGAATACCTTAGTGCCGATAGCATTGATACTTCAGACACAAGCAAAATAGACGAAGTCGTCTATACACAGGAGTATCTTAATAATATAAAGGTATCAGGACTGCCAACTCATTCTCTCAAGTTAAAGATAGGAGCTCCAATAATGTTGCTTAGAAATATTGATCCTAAGGGTGGTTTGTGTAATGGTACGAGGTTGCTTATTACTCGGTTAGCTAGGCATGTAATCGAGGCAAGCCATATAACCGGAAAGAAAATAGGAAAAAAGGTTATCATACCTAGAATGTTTGTGTCACCACCAGAAGCAAAGTTTCCTTTTAGAATGCGCCGGAGGCAGTTTCCTATTACCATAGCTTTTGCTATGACTATAAACAAAAGTCAGGGTCAGACTCTACAAAAGAAGGGATTATATTTGCCAAAGCCAGTGTTCTCGCATGGTCAACTTTATGTCGCCGTGTCTAGAGTTACATCACGCCAAGGGTTGAAGATTCTTATTACAGATATGAATGGCAAAGCACAAAAGAAGACAATGAATGTTGTTTACAAAGACGTGTTTGAAAATATTTATAGAAATTCGCGGTTGGTTTGAATAGATTGTTTTGTTTGCTACTAAAAGTATGTTTAGATTACATTGGATATTAGTTATATTATTTTAGTGGTCATTGGTATTTTTAAACTGTTTTATCTTTTAAATTTTGTTATATTTAACTGATTTATCTTTTGGATCTTCTTATATTATGAATTAGTGTTCACTATGATAACGTTTTGAATAGCTCTGTTTGTTTGAATTAAAAAATTATTAAATGATTAGTTGTTATAATATGCTTTTTTAAGTATATATATTAAACATTATACAAATCAATTTATAAGCTTCCAATTATGGTTTGAATATTATATTTTTTACTTAACAAGCTTTCGAAATATGGATCGAATATTAAATTTAAAACACAAAAAACTGTTTATGTATTACATTCAAAACTAATTACATTCAAAACTAAAAAAACTTTTGAAGAGCATCCGTCCGCGCTAGGCGCGGGCCAGCCACCTAGTACACGTATAATTAAAGAGTCATGCAATTTGACCAGAGAAGATAAAAGTCAAAAGAAGGAAGAGGCTTTTGCCTTTTATTGTACATATTAAAAAGACAAATTTTAGCCATCATATCCTTATTCTAATACAACCAATCCATTCATCTTTTCTTTGTGTATATATATACACATGATTGCTTCTTCAAGTTCTTAACCAATTTGGTAGTTGTTTACATAATACAGATTTTGACAAAAATGGAGATGAGGTTCTTGTTCCGTGGGTTGACTTTGTTCTTTATGGTGGCTTTAGGGGAAGCAGTTGGGGAAAGAATGAGATGGAGCAGAAAGGAGATGGTGGAGATGTCTGGCTACGGCGAACTCAAACTCTCCTCCGTCCTTCTCACCGCCTCTCTTCTCTCTTCCTCCTCCGACCCTATTCCTGGTATGTACCTGAAAAGAAACCAAATTCGTAATTTAGCTCATGCCCTTATATATTACTATATTTGGAAACTTTCTCCTAACACATCACAATCGTCTTCATGTAGGTGCAACCATTGGCATCAAGTGCCATACTGGAATCAGGAAGAGATCCAATTGGATCAAAGCTGTCACAAATGATTTGGGGCAATTCGTTATTGATCTTCCTTCACACCTCCATGCAATACCTGACCTGGACAAGGCTTGTTTAATCAAACCTCTCTCTGTTCCTAAACAGTTTCGATGCAGTCCCAACATTCACAGAGGTATCAAACTCGTTTCCTCTTCCAACGGCTTCCGTGTCTACACGGGAGGCAACATCACCTTACACAGAGCACCATGTAAATAGAGATTCTAAGTTGATCTTGCTAGGAAGATCAATCATGCCTTTTTTTATTGTTTTTTTTGTCTAAATTGTTTCCTTCTCACTTCTTGAGAGAAAGAGAGACAGTCCTTGTATATAATGGTTACTCATGCTCTTCTTAAAAAATATTGATACAATTAATGTTTGCTGCATGCTCAGATCTTTTTGTTACTACAAAGAATATTTGTGTTCCTCTGTTTTTTTTTTCTATTTCTTTATTGTGTAGCAGATTCTGATTTACTTTTAGCTTCTCATGATAATTGTAATCACTCAACTACGTGATAGGAGAAGAGATACAAGTTTTGTTTCAATATCTAAAAACATTGGTTTGCAATCCAAACGATTATAACACACACACATTTCTTCTTTTAATTGAAGCTATAGTTCCACTTTCTTATAATCCATCCATCACTCCATATGTACACCTAAATCAAGACCACATTCTTTAATATCTTCATACCCGGAAGCCTCTTCTTTCTCTACTGGACAGGATTTTCAACGTGAATTGTGTACGCGGCTGCACAACATAGCATAGACATATAAATATCAGCTTCTCTTGATGTTTGACTGTGTATATTCTCAAAAAGACAACCAATGAATGAAAAATTATGACCAAACCTTCTCGGTAAGTTTGCCTTTCTACATTGTTTTGACTCTTCTTTCAATATTGCCAATGCGTTTTCCTTTTCCCTCGCCGCCGCTTCCCTCTTTGCCTTCTTTGTCTCCACTTCAATGGCTTTCGTTAGAGCATCCACCTTCTTCAACAACATCTACAAACAGAGGTATCTTAAGTAAGGTCTCATAGTTGAAGAGCTGAAAAAAGAACAAGAAGAAGATGAAGTTACCTTTATTTCTTCATTTTTGGCATTAATAGTACCCTCTTTACTCTCACAAATCTTCCGTAGAGTAATCACTTCTTTCTGAAGCCTGTCATACAAAAACCCTGAAACCATATCTTCAGAATCTACATTTCCATCTTCCTCAGCTTTCCTTTTGCCATCTTCTTCATGCTGATCAATTAATCCGTTTGCTTCAACCTTTGAGTTCTCTTTTCCATCACTTTCTGGAACTCTATGAATCGTCTGATTAAGGGCATGGATTCTGCCTGTAAGTGAGCCTCGTGGCTGAGAAGTGGACCTTTTCTTGGATCCACCACCATTCGTCAAGAATCCTAAAATCTTGATAGATTTTTCAGTCTTTGTAGTTGTTGGAGAGTCAGAAAACTTGTTTGGTCCCTTCAAGCCATCTTCTATGGTTTTCAGCCTCAGCTTCAACCTCTCCTGTATTATTTACTTAGAGGCATTAGAAATTACATTCTTTTGCAACAAAATATTAGCAATATAATCAAATCACCTTTAGCTGAGATTCAGCCTTAGCGGTTCTCTCTGAAATAGCAAGTTTATCTTTCAATTTCTGCATTTCTCCCTGAACACATGAACAAATTTTGAACACTCAGTTTTCCCATATAGGCCAGTCACTGTGTATTAATTGGTTGTGTGAAGTGAAAGTTGTTAGTACATGAAGAAGCCTTCTCTCATCAAGCCATTGCTTTATGGGCATTACTCTATCGTTCTCATCTTTCCACTCGTTAGCAACCGCAAGAGCCACTCTACTTGCTGACACTTTGACTCTGGCCAGCTCTCTCTCCAAGGTTCTCTTCTCTTCCTGTTAATGTTGCAAATCATATTAAGTATGTGAGAATGGAAAACAAGAAATATTTAACAAGGACACTTGCATTGAGCTGGGAGATTTGGCGGCGATAGTCTCGAACTGCATTGGCGGCTGTTCCTCCTGCCAAGATTGCTTCCTCCAATTCTCCAATGGTTTGGGAGAGCTTCTCGATCTCTAACACTTTCTGTCGGTTGATTTTCTCAAGAAACTTGTTCTCGTCCTGAAGATTTTCTTGCCTTTAGCAACAGCTTTATATCTCTGAATGCTCAAAATTGTATTATCAAGGAGGGTACCTGGCAGATCTCAATCTGTCTTCGAAGCTCAAAGTTGTGGTTCTGGACCTCCTCAACGATCAAGGCACGTTCGAGGGCACTCCTCAAGATTCTCTCTGCTTCAAGAAGCGCCGATTCTTTTGATTTTGTTAGCCGTTCCAACGCTTTCTTGTCCTCTTGAAGCGCAGAAATCTGTAGAAACAGCAGCGTGTAAGCACAAGAAGAAAGAAGGGAACAATTAGTTTGAGATGGATATAGTCAAAGACCTGATGCTTTTGAAACTTGATCTGATCTTCAAGAGGAGCTATAACGGATTCAAGGGGTGAAGAGTCATCATCGTGTTGGTGAGTGTAGACCCTCCTCAGTGCTTCTTCTGCAGCGTCTTGTGCTGCCAATGCATCTTCCTTCTCTTCTTCCAGCTTCTTCACCTCCACCTCCTGCTTCTCCATAATCATGTCACAATCTTTTTAACTTATTATAAACATTTTGAATTTTATTTAATGTTTTGACTTTTGGCATGAGTTCCTTCACAAAGACGGTAAGTCCAAAAACGCACCTTTTGTTTAACAAGATTCTCATTGGCTCCAAGTCTCTCCTCCAACTTCCTCACGTTTTCTCTAAGCTGAAACACAACCAAGTAATCATAAGCAGAGGTCAAGAAGCTTGAAGAAGGGATTTTGAACATGGAAAACTAACATTGATCAACAAAACTTATGAGTAAGACAGAATGGAACAGCTAAGTAGGATCATCACGAACAGAGGTGATTATACAAATGGCTATGATCATGCTAACATACCTCCCCAAATGCTCTGTTTTTGAGCTCTTCATTTGTTCTTAACGCCTCAATTTCAGCTTTAGCTGCCAAAAGCTCCTTGTCCTTCTCTGCAGAGAGAAATGAAAAGAACAGCAGCAAAACCTTCAACGTTAAGAAATTCCTCAGAAGGATTGATGACTAAAAAACAGAGAGGAAAAGAACAACCTTTAAGTTGGTTTTGCAGAGAAGAGGTGTTAATTGCCAAAGGGTTTTCCCCTGCGGTCATTTTTACTCTCAAGGTCTCCTCCAATTCTTTGTTGCAGTATAGATGTGAGTTTTGGTCTTAGCAGTTAAAAGAATGGTGCAGAGGAGAAATGGAGGGTGTTAAATATATATATAAACACACACACTTTAAGAGAGAGAGAGAGAGAGAGAGAGAGAGAGAGAGAGAGAGAGAGAGACCATTCCTTTAAGGAATTGACATTTAAGGAGAGGGAGAGGGAGAGAGAGAGAGTAAACTTACTTACTTTTTTTTCCTCATTCTCAAGCAACCGTCTCCATTAGAAGCCATTGACAGTAACCAACCCTTCCCTCTTCTTCTTTCTCTTTCACTACCCATTTCAACTCATATTCATCCTCCCTTATCTTCCTCTTAATTTTCAACTCCAAAATGCTTTTAAGTTGTTGACTTCTTCTTTTTTAAGTTTTTACTATGGATTACACCTTCAAATAATTGAAAGATTATCAATTAATGTCCTTTAGGTTTGGTTCACCATCATTGTAACCGTGAACTTAATATTATTCAAAGGTCCACGGTGTAAAAATAAACAGGGGATATATGTCTATTAATGGCTTGAAATGGGAATTAAAATAAACAGATAATGTGTATAAACGAGTGAAGAAGAGAATAATCCAAAAGGAGTTGGAAGGAGAGGCAGCATATGACAGATATAAAGACACTAATCATACGGATAAAGATAAATTAAATGATTGAAGTATTTCGTTTGGTGAAAACCCTTTCTTGCTTTCTGTTTTTATAAAATAAAAATTATATTCCCTTGTATCATTTTGTCTTTATTAGTTTTGATAAGGTTATATGAATGTAGGTAACAACAGATAACAATTATGATAATTTTGAATGAAAGTATATATTATCCAACTGAGTTTGTAGTTTAGTTGATAGAAAGAATAAGAAAGGTGTTGCCTCAGCAATTAATAGCTTAACCGCAAAATATTGCACAAACCAAGCTTTCTTTGTATTAGTGGAAGTCACTCAATATCTCTCTTTGAATTAAAAAATGGATTTTCAAATAAATGAAACTCTTCTTCCCTTCTTTGCTTCCAAGTCTTACGGTTTGGTTATTAACTTATTAGATGAAACAATGATAGAGAATTAGACAAACAACACTTAAGAAGAAGAATTACATATCTTCCCTCTATTAATTAGAGACTTAAAGGCAATAAAGGAAGCTTGAACCTTATTTAAAAAGTAAAGAATAAAATGGAGGTGATGACCTGTACTTTGTGTAATCCTTGGTTTTGTGGGTTGGTGAGCTCCTTTCAAGGCTTATCAAAAACCCAATCTGACCTGTAGATTTGGTCTCTTAATACTTTTACCTCACAACCTTTTGGTTCAGCCGCCAGTTGACTCATACCGGTAAGATTATAGAATAATGACCTCCTAATTAATTCTTTGGTTATCTTTCATATCAACCCACAACAAGAGCAAATTTACAGGAGAAGAAAAAACAACCACCAGGTTTGGTTTGTATACATATATATAACTAGTTGACTTATATAGGTTGTGTTACAACTTAAAACAGCATTACACATCCTCAAAAATTTACATAGACAGGTGTGTGTGTATTGCTCTTCTTCATTCCACTCAGTCACCACCATGTCCTTACCCAATCTGGTTTGGGTTTGGCTTCCAAGCCGAGCATGTAGCCATGGCTCTCCTCTTCCAGAAGAGATAAAGCGCTCCTTCACTCCCTCCCAGTTTGTAGTTTTTGTCATAACCTTTCAACATCTCACTCGCTGCAAACGCAGCTGTTGAGCTGACCGGCCAGCTCATGAATCCAGCCATCATCATCCTGACCCTCCACTTCCCCAGCACCTCGTGTCTCTCCACTCTCTCTGACTCCTCGCAGGCTATCATGTTCACTATATCTCTCGCCACACAGTGTTGCTCTGCGCTGATCCTCTGCTTATCATCTCGTGGCCTCGCTGCATCTATCGACTCAAACATCGCAGTGTAGTAGTCTAGTGTCTCCACAAACCGTGACAGGAAGGGCGATGTGTTTGTGTTGGATTCTTGCTCCACTAGCGTCACGAGTTTCGGGGAGAGGCTCTTTATCAGATGCAGCAGCCTGTCTCTATGATTCTCAACGCTTACGCTCTCGTCTGGCATGTGGTGCAACACGTAAGGGAAGTTCACAACGACAGCAAAGCCAGGCTCCACACCGAGGTGTTCCCTATGCACCTTGCAACCTGACATGATTGCGTCGTGAAACTCGAACGGGACACCACATGACTGCGCCATCTTTGAGAGCTTCTCACCTACCAAGCTGAGCCCTCCTCCACGTGCATAGTTGGACTGTGAATCGTCCACACCAGTCACACGCAGCAACGGTGGCCCACCAGGACGTTTCCCAAGCTCCTGAATTAAAAACATGTATTGTGATCCCTGTGCGATCTGGAAATCGATAATATGGATTCTGTTTTCTCCAGCCGTTGCTTCCAAGATCGCAGCATTAGCAGCTGTGTACGCAAATTTCCAGTAAGGGCAGATTTCATAGAGAACGCCCATGTAAGACATCAATTCCCTTCCCGTTGGTTCATTGCATTTCAAGGCTCTGTATATATTGCTACCAGAACCTTCAAGCCTCGCTCTAAGCCCTTCTGCCATGTAAGCACCTAGCCGTTGGATAGGACTGCCTGAGACCGAAACCATCTGTTCCAAGACATCGATGAATCCACAAGCTGTAGCGGAATCCCCATCAGCAACAGCCCGAGCACCCTCCACCAACACCTCTTTCAAGTCCAACTTTGGAGTCAACGCCAAGAGTTCATCCCAGTTCCAAGACTTCCCTGCAGCTGGGCTGAAACCTGAGAACTCTTCAACTTTTGTATCACCGCTCAGCAGCGAGACCTCAAGTTCCCGGATCTTACTCCTGACACCGGCTTCATCATAGACGTAAGAAGAAGCCCCGCTCAAGGGAGATCCATAGACGTTTTCAGGAGACGGATGGAGATCCGAGATGCATGACTGAGAGCCCTGAGGAGAAAACGGGCTCCGGCCAGAAGTGATGCTCACGGAAGGGGAGTCGTAGGAAGGGAGACTACCAGAAGCAGTGGAGGATTCGAGGGTGAAGAAGTTTTCTTTGGATGGAATATCAGAGAAGCCATTGCTGTCTATCATTTGGAACTGAGGTGAACAGTAGACTTGAGGATACAGCATGTGCAGTCCAGCTGCACTGTGATGTTTCTGAGACGTTTGCATTGGATTAAAACTCAGTAATACGCACTCCTTGATCTATCTTCTTTATCTAAAAACTCTCTCTACAGTGCCTCTTTTGTTTGAACCCCTGTCTCCATGGAAAGAAAGAGAAGGACAAGTGAGCTACAGCAGAGTAAAGCGACTACGTACAGACACTGTGATTTGTGAGAGAAGGAAAACAAGAAAAAGTCTAGTTCCAAAATGTCCTCAAATCCTGTTTCTAAATCTGCTCACAATCAATCAATCAATCATAAGCTCATCAGAAAAAAATCTAACGTCTTTAAGGGTTCAAAGATCGATTTTGGTACTACCTTAAAACTGTCAATTACCAGAAAAATAAATAATTGATTCAGAGCTTCCACAAAAACAATGGAAGACTTCCAATTTCTCTCTACAGAATTCAAATCCGTTCGAAGGTTAGATTCAAACCCTAAATCAGGGTTTACCAGTGGAAACGTAAAAGGGGTTCAACTATTGGATTGAAAAAATTACAATTGAGGCTCAGCATCATGAATTTGTACATTCATCAGTAGAAAGTTTGGCAATTTTGAATCAACACTAGACATAGACAAATAGATTTTGGTTACTGGGTAAAACCGCTTTGCACCAAATCAAAATGAAACGAGTCAAAGGCACGTAAAAGCTGGTTTTGCCAAAACCCCTATAATCCAAAGCCTAAAACCGAGATGAGCTATATATGATTTCAGCTTAATTTATGGGATAAAAAAAGGAAGAACGAGCAATTTCTAAATCCAGAAACAGATTGTATTGAATAGTTTGACAAGAAAATTAAAATAGAAAGGAAGTGCAGAGATCATCAGGAAAGCTAACCTCAAGGAGAGAAGCTGAAGGGATTGTTTTTGGATTGGGAGATTGTTGGAAGGGGACAAAGAGAAGAAGAAGAAGGTTTCTTTGCTTACGCAAGAATAAGCTTGAAGAAGGAAGAAGAGGATATAATAAAAGTGCAAATTGTCATGACACTCTTTGGACCTATTCTAAATACCCCCTTTTATTCCGTTTATTTACTTAAATGCCACTCTAACCTTTGACTTTTGGACGGCAGTAGCAACACTACCCACTGTTTCTTTATTAAATTACCTCTTGTGAGTCGTGATGTGTATTTTTCTCCCTCTTGTCACTTTTGCCTTGTAAATTTTGTTTTTTTTTCCTATATTTTACATGGTTAATTTTTGCAAATAGCCAACATGTAAAATTTAAGGAGATAATTGATCTTAAATTTTATCTATTAGTCTAATGAGTGAAAATATAGAAATTTTATTGATGGTGGCATGAATGGGATTGAAAACATAACATACAGACTATTTTTTTCTTATGACATGCTATTTATTCATGTTGAAGAGTTATAAAATTATCATCGTCGTACTAAAATTATATTTAGGTTTGATAAGAGCATCTCCAACCATGCACCAAAATACTAAATTTGGTGTTAATTCTTCTTCAATGATGCACCAAATGTTGCATCAAATATTTTTTTTTGGTGTTTCGTGAATAGTGTTGCACCAAATTTAGTGCAACACTATTCAGTATTCACAACACCAAACATTAAAATATTATTTTTTCATTTACTCATATAATTATATTATTGTTTATTAGTTAATTAAATTATATTGGTTTTAGGAGTGTAAGATTCATTCTTGTAATTTAGAATTGCATAAAATTTTGTTATTAATATGTAAATAAATTAAGATTAAAAATTCATAATAAATTTTAATTAAATATTTCAACATAAAATTACTAAATTAAAATCAAAAAACCATTAAAGAAAAACAAAATACAACAAAATAACTTTAATGACATAATATAACCTTAAACAATATTCTAATAGTCTGAATTACTCATCAAAATTATGAAAAATAAAGAGGATTTTAAATTTAATAATATAATAATATAAAATATTGTTTTTAGTGTGAGATTCGGCGTTGTGGTTGGAGATGAAAAAAACACTATTCATTTTTACACTATTCATGACACCAAATTTGGTCCTATGGTTGGAGATGGCCTAAGTTGTGTTATTTTCAAAATTACGGACATGTATTATAAAACAAAAACAAAAAAGAAACATGTGATTTCGTCAACGAACACTGTTTTAGAGGACGAAAGAACTATTTTAGTCAAGCGTGCAAATAATGACTAATTGGTCATTTTTTATGCTAAGTTTTGCATATATTGTCAAATTTTTATGGATTTATAATTGAATATGGTTGACAACGAATATACAATGATAATACTTTTTTAAAACGATAGATTCAAGACATATATCGATATCGATATCTTCTCATACCAGAGACTATAACATGTAAAATGGTTATTCTAGTCCTCACTGGTACTTTGAATTCATGAAGTTAAAGATTATTATGTTTATGTGGTGAGCTAGTTCATTGGTTGAGCTGCTTAAGTTCCAAACATCTTGTAAAATGTACATGTGTGCTTCAAAATCTATAGATTCTTTCAAGTTTCACCATTTGAATCCCTTCTACTCGTCTTCCAGAATACAGAGATATGGTCTGTGTCGCTGTGTCGTCGTGATCGAATTCTCAACCGGCACATGTTTTTAAATATTTTGATTATACAAAACAGAAGTAGTAGTTATATACGGACTTGCGCTTGTGTGTAAAGAAGACGAAACAACGCGTGGAGGCGCGTAGAGGTTAAATTGTACTCAGTACGGTGGTGGGATGGCAAAATAGTAAAAAGAAAGGGAACGTGAGGGGCAAAAGAGGGATAGAAGATAACGCGTTTGCGTCACAATCACAAATAACGTAGAGAAAAAATATCCAGGGATTAAGGCCGTTCGTGGAACCCTCCCAATCTCCCCTCACTCTCTGACACATGTCTTTTTTCTCTTTTTATTATTATTTTTTAGTTAATATTAGAAAAGGATTTGGAGATGTATATACAAATTATGCTCATTGCATGGAAATTATGCTCATTGCATGGAAATTATGCTCTTACATTGTGTCATAGCAGAAAAAAAAGGTGAGAAAACAGACTACAAATAGTGAAACAAATCCTTTATTAACCTTTTTCTTTTTTATCTTTTTGGTGTTTACAAAAAGAGGGATAGAGAGATGTAAAAGTGTCAAAAAAGAAAAGAAGAGGATGAGATGGAAAAGCATTAATTGTCGTCACCTTTCTAGAGATGCCATCTCCTATACATATCTATCACTGCGAGTCACAGGCTTTTTTATTTTAGGAACAACAATTCCTTCTGACAAAACTAGAACAGCTTTTCGAATACAGAGGTGAAATACGTAACATGTTAGACTAGACGCAATGATGCAGAACCTTTTTTTTTTTTAATACTATTTTTTGGGTGGACAGGACTACTATATTCATTCACTTTTTGCCGGTCCCCTTTTTTGCCAAAACAAATGTAAATTTAGTGGCATAAGCAACTTCGGTGAAATTGCAATTATTCAGAGAGGAAGAAAGGCTTACGTAGGAGTAGGATACGTACTGACGTAGCCCCACCACACACGCTTACTCTCTTTGCTTTCTTCTTTTATTACCAACACCATTAATTCACTAATTAATTAATAATACTCTTATATTTAAAGTTAATTTGCGAAATGGTAGTCGAGAAGTTGTTATTTAGGTAATATATGGCAAGATTTGACATTGTTAACAGATATGTCCATCTGATAACTTAGAAATGTTGATCGACCTTCTTAAAAGTCTATTTGAGGAGGATTTGGATATCTTATATAAACATGCCGATAATCTTTTACCTCCTGAAAATTTTGGATAAAATGGATATCAAATTGATGAGGGAAAAAAACATAGATAGTTATAAAGAACACATTGACGAAAATGAGCAGGAGAAGAAGGAAAAGATTGGAAGGTATTAAGAGGAGCGAAAATAGGGAAATGAGAAAAAATTTGGCCATTCTACGTTCCGTTTGATTTTTTGCTTCATTGAACAATAAAGTCCAGTGCTGTTTACTTAAAAATATTATCATTATTAATTTATTTATAGATGGTGCAACATCTTTATATCATTACATCATCTTTAATAACAACAATACAAAGTGAGAAAAGGGGGATGCAAAGGAAACATATCTGCTCTCTTTCTTCATCTTTAATTACCTTATTTTGAATGGCTTCTATTTTACACACAACATTTTTAACTTGTTCAGCTCAATCTTGCATCACGGTTCTACCAAAATCATACTACCCTCTGAGACTGAGAGCAAGAGACATAACTTATCACGTGGAAATATTGGGCCAAACTTACCCTTTGAAGCACTTTTCTTTTATCTTAAAACATTCTCCCACCTCTATACCATCCTCTGCTCTCCTCTGATCTCCGGCCTGCCTTTCCCTCTGAGCTCCCTGACAGCTTTACACTTTTTGAACTTGATTTAACTTTACATCCTGTTGTTGTTACAGTGCTTCTCCCTGATAAGCTCTCTTCTGCCGAATCCACCCTCTCAAACTCCTGCACGACAATACAAACGTTTAACTAAGTCAAGTCTATCTTGTGAGCCATAGACCAACAACCTGATCTTTATAACTTTAAAAGGTTAAGAACCAAGTACCTTTGGCTTCGTCTTAGTATAAGGGGTTAGGCATGGATTCAGATCTTCCAGAGCCAATCCATCAGGGCTGCCTGAGCTGAATTCCTGATATGCATTCAATAATAGTAATAAGATCATTGCCAGTATATTGTTTGTTCCAAAGCTCAGATTATTAAAAGGTTACTACTTTTAATCCTAATTGCTTACCAGTGAATCATAGGAAGACGTCTGTGCTTGCCAGTAACAGCTTTCTGACGAGTACTTGTTCGCCTTCACCTGTTAAAACGAGTCATTTAAGTTCCTCATCAGATAATACTACTCTTGAACTTTACAGAATATATTGGAATGTTGCTGCAACAATGCCCTGAATAAACTTCCGCAAGAGTTACAACTCGGTTAGCCATATAATGATCCATAACAAGTACTCTTTTTTATTAATCCTTGAGTCACCGATTACGAGAAGAATTAATGATCACAAACTGAAACAGAACCTAGAACAACCCTTCTGCCTAAACTTCCTTTTAATCTGTTAGTTCTCTGGCTAACCGGCTACAACACAGCTACAAAATCCACTACGAAACCACCTAATGTATCTCACTAACACAAGGCTTATATCACTAATTAAAAAGCATCACAAGCAAGACGACAAACAAAAAATTACAAAATACCTCAGCAAGGTCATGAGCAATGCATTGGAGCTGGCCATTGAGTGAAAGAACCTGCTTTTGAAGGTTAGGGATGATCTGCCTTGCCTGATTCAGCTCCTGCATCTGGCTGTTCATCGCATCCGGAAACAAAAGTGCGCTCTTCAGCGACTTTATCTCTTCCCGCTGCTTCAGGCACAGATCCTTCAACTTCTCCACCTGCATTAGCTATCTTAACTTTACTCAATTGATTCTCATGAGAATCCAGGAATACTATACTTTTACTCTGCTAATCTATTCATGAATCTATCTTGTCCTAACACACACAAATACCAAAACACTAAACGGCTAAACCAAGCTTTTAAAGAGGGGGCAAAGAAGATATTACTTCTCTATTCTTCTCCTCAAGATGAATCTTTAGCTCAGCGATTTCCATTTCTTGTTCCTTGTTCATGCTAAGAAGCTCCCTCTCGCTTCGCAGAACCATGGAGAGAGTCCTGGTGTTTCCCTTGACCTCTGTCAAAGGCTTAACCTTCTCCTTCCCGAACAGCTTCCTCTGCAATGTTCCTAGTGTGCTCTTCCCTCCTCTTCCTTCTAATTTCGCAGTATCAATTTTCTTCATTTCCTCGGGAATCACAAGCTCGACCCTCTTGCTCCTGGAATTAGATTTCTTCATCTCAATCAGCTTCTTCATCATACAAGTGAGGTTTCCAGGATTTTCAGGCTTGACGTTTTTAGCTGTTTTGGTTAAGTATGAATGTTTGGATCTGACAATGGCCTTGGATGAAGATGGTTTGTTCGGTTTGGATTCAGCGGAGGAAGATAGATCTGAGTGGACTGAGGAAGATAACGATGATCTAGAATCGTAAGAGTTGTAGCGAGCTGCCATTTTTCTGGTGGGGAGGCTCGAAGAAGATTGAATTTGCAGGAGGATCTGTGATTTTGAAATTGTGGAAGAAGAAGAAGAAGCAGAGGGAATTTGACTTCAAGTGTCCCCACAATCTTCATTTCAAATTTTCTTTTGTCTCTACCTAAAATGGACTTTTTCATGTATTGGGCCCAGTGATGGGCTTAGTTATGTTTAAAGGTTTTTTGTGTTTTATTTGAATTTTGTTCTAATGGTTGATTGGTTTTTTGAATAAAATTTTATTTTAACAAGTGTGCTACAACAAAACTTTTTAATGGTTGATTGGTTGTTCACTTGTTCTTGTTTTTTTTTCCCTTTTTTTTGTCAATGTTTCTTCTGGTTAATCAAGTAATTAACAATAACTTATGTTTAAGAATGATAAGAATAGATTCCTCCAGCTTTTCAAGTTTTGTATTTTGCTAATTTCGAATTCCATTAACAATACTGGTTTCAATTTTCATAGTTTAAAGTTTTGATATTCAAAATTTCAACTATCTAATAAACCATGCCTCCTTTTTTTTCTGTGTAATAATTTAGTGAACCATGCATTGCATTGCATGCCTTTTGTTTCAGAAAACGTCAAGTAGGATAAAAACCAATACTCCCTCCGTTTCATAAAGAGTGTCATTCTGACATTTTTCACACATATTAAGAAAATTATTAAAAGTTCAATTTTATCTTTTATTAATACATTAAATAACTTGTTTTTATCTAATAAGTACATTAAATTAATAGGGTTAAAACTGGAATATTGTTTAAAATTTTGCATTAAAAATATAAAACGACACTCTTTATGAAACAAAAATAAAACCTTAAAACGACACTCTTTGTGAAACGGAAGAAGTATATTATATATAAAAGACAATCAACTTTCTCCAGCTGAATGTCACATCAACATTGGAGAGAATGACACATGTCCATTTACAATCTTAATTAAAAAATAATTAATGAAATTTAAAGAAACACATTAAAGAATATAAATAAATAATATGTATATAAATAAATTTATATAAAAACGAATTAAAATTTAATTTAAATATATTACAACTTATAAATATTATATAATACAAAAATTTTTAAATGCACCATTCTATTTTTTTTTTCAAATGATTTAAATATCATTTTTAAACTAAAAAAATAATTAAATTTTAATGCAAGTGAAAAAATTATGAAACTGAATATATTAAGAAGTTTCAAATAATCTTATATAAAACTTTAACTAATAAATTTATAAAACATAAAAATATTAATAAATGATTAAAGAGATAAAAAATATAAAAAATAATAGTAAAAAGAAGAGTGGATATATAAAAATGTCATAAATTGTTTTTTTGTACAAAAAAACCAGGAATCAATCAAATATATATAACAAAAAAAACTCAAAATTGTATATTGAGAAAGTTGACAAATATTATATTAGTAGGATTTACAACAATAAAAAAAATATGAAGATGGAAGAACAAATAAATATTCCTTTTTGGTACTCAACTTATATTTTTATGTGAACTATTACATTTTTATACAGAAATTAAATAGTAGATTTTTAATTTTTTATTATAATGGGAGAAATTTTGGACTATTTCATACAACTGGTGTAGAATAGTTACAAATAATATGTTATAAAAAAATTAAAGAAAATATCAATATTTTAAAGGCAAAACAAATTGATAATAAAAGTTTTTAAAATGTATAATTTAAAATATAAATTAAAATAAAACTGCGCATATGCGCGGGTTATCTCCTAATACATACGATAAGATTTGTATGGTCCAAAATCTTCAAAATTATTCGGACACCAACGGCATATGATAACAAAAGCTATTGTTAATGATAATGCAGCTGCATGTTAGTAATTAGTAATTAGTAATTTAATAATTAATTGTTTTTTTGTAATTTAAAGAGAAAAGAGAAGAAATTAAATCATAGCTAATTTATTACTTTTTATGGAAAAAAAAACGTCGTTAAAAAAGCAGTTTCCTTCTGGTTATTACAGCGAAAAAGAGGGAGAAATGACGAGAATGCCATCGTCTCTTAGAAAGGGAGAGAGGATGGATTAGCCAAACAAATTCGTCTCTTGCCTGCCTCCATAATATAAAAATACCAAAAAAGAAAAAGAAAAAACATCGTCTACTCCTCACTTCTCTGCTGCTACACACAAACTCCATCCATTTTTGATTTGGCCCATTTTCAAATTTAACATTTTTTTTTGCTGAGGAAAAGATTGCAGAAGGGCTAGAAGCGTCTCTCACTATCGTACCTCTCTTTTTTAATGTTTCCTCTCGCATCTTAGATTTCATTCTCTCCATTTTTTCCTCTTTCTCCGTTTCTCTCACTCGGTACAAATTCTCTCTTCTATTGCAAATTTTGTTCCTTTGGTTACTTCTTACGTTACGTCTCTGATCGACTTCATCTTTGTTCTCCTTTTTCCAGGAATCCAGGTCTTGGGTCGACCGGTTTCCCGGAATCCGATCACGACCCTGCGCTTCTTTTCTCGTAGATACAGCCTCCCAAGTCCAGTTTTTTTGGCTTTCGACGAGGTTTGTTCGTTTCATCGTCTTTGCCTGTTGAGTAGATATTATTAGTTAGATTGAGTTTCTGGGTTTGATGAGCTTGAGAAGATAGATTCGGAGCTGAAACGTGTTTACACCTTGATTCTACTTTTGTCGGTGAATCATTTTGCAGAATGGAGATGGATTCATGTAAGCTGTTTATCGGTGGGATATCTTGGGAAACCAGTGAAGATCGTCTCCGTGAGTATTTTCAGGCCTATGGTGAGGTTTTGGAGGCGGTTATCATGAAGGATCGAGTCACTGGCCGTGCCCGTGGCTTTGGTTTCATCGTCTTTGCTGACTCTAATGTCGCTGAGAGGGTCGTTCTGCAGAAACACATGATTGATGGTAAATCTGTAAGTTTCACAATCTCTCTAAACCAGCACCGCAAATTAGCTTAGGATATCTCAATATTATCACGTCAAATCTCAGGATGATGCAATGATCTTTGTTGCTTGATTTAGTGATATTTGCTTTTGAGAGCGAATTCATTATCTGTTTCAGTGTCTTAATCGCAAAAAAGAAAGAGCATGTCTGTCTGAAAAGTACATCTGCTCAAAGTTGTTTGATTTAGAGTCTTGTATTGGTGCTTTATCTCAGTTGGCACTCCATCATTTATATCAATGGTTTCTCGAATCTCTTATTAGTCTTTGATATACAGTATGACTAATGAACTCTCATTGTAGTGATTCTGATTGTAATGCTACATTGGTGCCAGTTCAGGATTTGGATTCGTTATTTTAACAACGATACAGCTATGGTTAATTATAATGTCAGAGTTGTTAACTTGTTGGTGTGTGCAGGTGGAGGCAAAGAAGGCAGTTCCAAGAGACGACCACATAATATTGAACAAAAGTAACAGCAGCCTCCAGGGATCACCTGGGCCAGCAAACACTAGAAAGATATTTGTGGGAGGTTTGGCACCATCAGTGACAGAGGCAGAGTTCAAGAAGTACTTTGCTCAGTTTGGCTCAATCATGGATGTTGTGGTGATGTATGACCACAAAACCCAGCGCCCAAGAGGCTTTGGTTTCATCACGTATGACTCAGAGGAAGCTGTAGACAGAGTGTTGCAGAAGACATTCCATGAACTCGATGGTAAGATGGTTGAGGTCAAAGTGGCTGTCCCTAAGGAAACTTCTCCCAACACAAACCGAAACCTGAACGGCCTGAATAGCTTCGGAAGTAGCAGGATGAGTATGTTGCTCAACGATTACACCCAAGGGTTTAACCTGAGTCCAGTCTCATCCCATGGAGCAAAACCTGAAGGTAGGTATAGTCCAGCAGTAGGTAACCGAGGTAGTTTCTCTCCGTTTGGCCACAATTTCGGGATTGAGCTAAATTTTATTGAGGGAAACCAGAATCAGAGTTATGTTAGTGGATCCATTGGAGGTTTTGGAAGGCCGTTTGTTCCTGGATATAATGCAAGCCTGAGCAGGTATGGTGGTCAGGGGAATGGTTCTGTCAACAGAAATCAACTATGGGGGAATAATGGTGGTGTGGGTTACATATCAAACTCTGAGATAACTGGAGGGTTCTATGGGAACTCTGGAGTAGGAAGTATAGGAGAGAAGTGGGGAACAGTTGGTGAAGGGCGTAGCTATCGCGGTTATAGCAACGCAGAGTTGGGTATTGATTATGGTAGAAGCAATGGAATGGGAATAGAATCTAGAGGAGGAGGAGGAGTTGTTCATACGAGCAGCTCGGGTTGGGGAATGTCTGGTGAAGGAGGGATGCTCAGTTTTGGGTACATGAACAACACAGAGGTAAGAGCTAAGACAGCCTTTGCTCTTGATAATTGAACTAATGTGATGGATTACTAATGAACTGCACTTTTTGCAGGAATTGCTACTAGCATAGAGACCTGACATATCTACACTTAGGGAGATGAGATGATTATGGAGTGAGTTTTTAGAGAGCAACTTATTAGAGTCTTATAGTTTTCAATATTGAGCGTCTTTGCTTTTTGTTCTAGTTTTGTTCTAATTTGGAATTTTATTTTTTTATTTTCCTGATTTTTCTTTAGTGTAAAATGACAGATACAAAATTGAAACCAAGACAAGAAAGAGTTTCATGTTCGTTTTTGGGATTAATAATAAGCATTTTCTATTTAAAATGTGGGCGGTAAAAAAAACAGGAAGACGTCAGATTTCGGACATAGAATAGAAGAAAAGATGGAATGAATGAAGTTGTTGTTTGGCCAATTAGAGCCACAAGTTCAACATTGAGCCCATACATACATAAGACGTTGTCGTGTCTGTACTGCTCCCACTATTGTCTCTTTCTCTCTTTCTCTTTGTATGGTCTTAGATAAAAGGAAAGAATGAAGAAGTTAGGTGATAGATACAGAAGGAAACGGATGAGTAATGAGTTAGTAAAAGAGTTGTAGTGTCAATAGAACACGTAACTGGGCTAGTATGCGTGTAGGAGTGTTCTACACATATCATAATGAGAAAATCAAATCTTTGCTTCACAATGTTTTCAAGAACAAGTAGTGTTTAGAACAAGATAGATACTAAATGAGCATTTAAGATTAAGAAAAAAGGGAACTGTAGAGTTCCCTTGGTCTACAAAAAACGTTCATCTTCATAACTCAAGTGGTCCCTTGCTCTCGACCCATCCACTTCTCCCTTCTCACAAATAAGACGAAAGCCACACTCGGTTGTGTCCTCTTCTCTTTAATGCTCTGTTTTGCTCTTTCACTATAAACACAACAAGACATGATGGTTTTCTTGAGGAATTTGTCTGAGTTCCAATGCGGCTGCTATCATCTGATCCTCAACCCCAACTGACCTCTACATGTAAGTCCCAGAGTTGCAGCTGGAAGCCTTACTCTCATTCCAATGACTTTGCTGCCAACGCCTCTCTTCTTCTCATCATCATCTTCTCTTCTCTCATCTGCGTTCTCGCTCTCCACGCTGCCCTACGTTGTTGCCTCCGTCCAGCCCTCCAAAATGACTCTAAACCCGACCCTGAGCCTGAGGCCTCCCATTCGGAAGCTTTCCCGACACTTGTCTACTCCCCTGGGCTGAATCTGGCGGGCGCTGAAGCAGAGTGTATCATTTGTTTGTCTGAGTTCGAAGACGGTGACACTCTCCGCGTGTTGGACAGATGCAAACATGGATTCCACATTCACTGCATCCAGCAATGGTTCTCCTCCAACCCCTCCTGTCCCACTTGCCGCACAAACATCTTCTCCTCGCCTAGTGGAACTCCTTAGTCAGATCAGTGCAGCATTTTTGGTTTTGCCTACTTTTTCCCTTTTATTTTCATTCTCACCTCACACCTCTATCATGTTTTCGAGGCTAGTTTATTTATTTCCAACCTAGTTGTTTTATATAATCCATGAAATCATAAACACACAGACAGAAAAGTGATATAAAGTTGCTTTTGTGAACCAGTCTGTACCTAGCAAAAACAAACACACACCATGTGTAAAGAAGCAAATGGCAAACATTACCACAAAGCATAGAGGGGCCAAAGGATTTATTCAGTGTTGGAGTTCAAGAAATATGAGGTATCAAAGGTGTTAACTACCCACTTGTTGGATAAGAAAGAATGAGTTGTAACTGGATAACATAATGAATACAGAGTGAAAGAAAAAGAACAAAAAAAAAATTTGAATGAGAGTTGAATTAGGAGCATTAATTAACTTGATTGGCATTCTGGACCACATTCACGAGTTATCAACACACTTCTCAGACACCATTCTTAGAGGATAAAACATTGAATCAACAAACTCTTCCGTTGAGGCGTGCCTATCAATACAAAGTTAGAATGCATTATTAAATTAAGTCTCAATTAATAATATAATCGTTCTAATTTCGTACAAAAAGCAATTTGACTAATATTATACTAAATAAAATAAAATGAAGGTAAACAACAATAATTATTACTTCTAAAACATAATTTTTCTCAATTTTTTTCATAATTCACTATCCAAATATTCTTATATCTAAGTATAAATTCATAAAAGTCTACAACCAAAGTATAAAGATATAACAAGACCAATAAAATCTAAAATTTCTACCTTAACCAAGCCAGTCCTTCAAGAGCACATGCCGCTAATGCTAATGCTAATGAAGTCCATAAGTTTGCAAAGCATATTGCAGCAGCACTGTCACAACTCCAGTAAAAATCGTCATTGCAACCCAAGGGTGGATAAAACCTCCTATACCAATGGGTAATACACCTCATAGAATGATCCAAGATATAGATCTGGTAGCTTTAACTGCAATGACGTTGCGTTGAGCATTTTCCACCAATGCGTTGAGCATTTTCCACCAACACGTTTTGAAAAGATCAAGTTAATACTAGCAAATACATAGAAATTTTACTTAGAACAAAATCAACAGTTTTACACGAAAGTTCATTTAAATAAAGATCTATACAAACTACTAGAACTCTTTAGCATCATGACACAATTAGACCTAGCAGTTATATCCAGTGATTGAAGAGATAGACTGATAAATTTAAAGTGTAATTGGTCTTATCAGTCCATGAGTGATACAATATTGCATTAATTTCGTGTTTATTGTTTATTAATTTTTTAATTAGTTCCTAATTTAAAACAAAATTCACATTGTATACTAAAACTTTAAAAGTTAGCAATAAATGAGATGGACTCTTCAAAAATTTATTTAAATAATGGGCAGGTAGGCCTTTTTATAACATTGGGCCCGTAGGCCAATGTTTCTCTTTTATAGGCCATAGGCTCGGCCTACTCTTCCCTCTTGAATCTTGATTCATCATCTCTAAATGAAAGCATTTTTGCTGTTCCAAGGCTGAATCAGACTCCATCTTGAACTTGCATTCCCAGCCCCAGGGAACAATCAGGCCGCATATGTGACCACTACTAAACAACATCCTATCATGGATTTCTTCAATGGAGAACTGATCTTTTGGCAAAACTTGCTCTATATATCCTGCCATCTCTGAGACAGCTTTTGCTGTAAGCTATGGAGAGCACAGTATGCTCGTAAATCATAAACAAGCTCTCTGTCCCAAGAGTTACAGATATTTAGCAATTCTCAGCGCATACTGTTTCAACTTTACTAGAATGCTCCTATTAGGTGTCACTGAAAAGAATCTGATAGAACCTTTTTCTCTCTTCTGGATCAAACATACCACCTGGTCGACCCCCAAGGTTCTCTTGTTCATCAACATCATCTCCATCCTGAATCCTGTCTTTCTTTCGCACCATAGGCTTCACAGATTCAATACCTTTCTCTCTCTTCTTCTCTAAGTTAGCCAAATACCGCCTGTGATTGTACTCATACAAGCCCTGCTGCATCAATTCCCCAAATTTATCCTTGACAACAACAAGCGGGTCCTTGTGAATCAATTCTGAGCCATTGTAGCCTTCCCTAAGGACCACAGTGTGAACCTGATACTTGTTTGATACGTAGAATATGCATGGATGTTTCAGAAGCATACCATTTAGCTTCTCTGGCAACCCAAACTCCCTCTTGAAATGATTCAGCTTTACGACTGATAGCTTCTTCCACAGAGTCAACGAGAGTAACTCGTGCACCAGACCAACGCTTCTCTTCTCACTCTCCTTTGAACCCTCGACAAGATCCCCAGGATCTTGATATGGAGATATGTAAGGAGAGGCGTTAAACTCAATGAACCTCTCCCACGGGTTGGTCCATGTGGTGGGCAGAGAGCAAGTGAAGCTAGGCTCAGAGCCACGTTCACTCGCTGCAGCTTCCACTGCAGAAACAGCCAGCTCAGGCTTCCAAGACAAAAGCTCGATCTCCATTGAGCTCTTCCTGCCACTGTAATTCACTAACCGAAACAAATCTGAGTACTTTGGTAGTATCCTGATAACATAATCATCAGTGAACCCAAAGCTCCGCTTCAACTCGTTAAGCTTCACGACATTGAGCCGCTGATTAACACTCATCATAAGCAGCTTCGCAAGCCTATCTGCGAAGACAGGCTCTTGTGAATCTTTGACCAACTCTTCTTCTTCCACAAGAGTCATCATGGGTTTTGTCAAACGACAGTAATACTCATCTTCCTCGAGATAAACATCGAAACAACATGGATACTTCTTAAGCCAGTTCATGGCCTTCCCCTGAAGATCAAGGGTCTTAAACTTCTTCTGTAGAAACTTAACCGGTGCGACCTGATTGGGACACCTTAAGATGATGTTCTTGAGCCGACTGTTAACTATCCATCTTTTGTTACGCGAGAGGGCTGATTCGAGATCGGGGTCTTTCTTCGTTGAGCAAAGCGAGAATCTTCGGATTAGAATTGAAACAGATTTGGCACGATGATGGATAGCAGACGAAGAACCCAGAATTCCAAACAACTCGCGGACCAAAGCCATATCAGTGTCGATGAGCAACTCTAATCCAACACCGAAAGCTTAGATTTTGGCATCTATTACTCAAAACTCAAAAACCCAATTACTGACGAATTGAAAAACCGCACCTTTACAATGGGGAAGCAATGTGCTCTTAGGATGGGTATCATTATCAAAGGAGCACAACAGAAACCCTAAATTAACATGCCCGAGAAGACGAAGAATTTGCCTAAGTTTTCACGAGGGAAGAGGTCATCTGTTTCGCTGATGATTAGATAGATAGACCTAAATTAATCGGTACTTGCAAATTAACCAAATCATCCATTAAACCAAATTTAATCTGTAATTGATTTTAACTCGAGAGTAATTATGCTTATGAACAGCATCCAATTTTTGCGAGGGAAGATCGTGTGGTGGAGATACGAACACATAAGCCCATGAAAAGGGCCTCGTTGATTAGTGCTGTGTGTCAGTGTGTGAATGCAGACAGCAATTAGTCTCTGAATGAGTCTTACTTCAGACAAGTCAAAGCTTATAACTTTTATTGGACAGAATATTAAAATTCTTTGACGATTCAAAACAATCACCATCAGTATCAAGAAAATAAGAAAACTCACTTTTTCGACGAGGAATCAGAGAGCAAAAATAAACAGAGAAGAATCGAGAGAGTGAAAGAGAGATCTAGTGATGGGGTGCGACTCACATGGCAATCTAAGCGACACAGAGTTCAGCAAACCGTTGCCGTCGATAGGTATATACGTGGCTGCCGCTTCACTGATCTGTGGAGCTGCCATGTTTGCAGATCTTCTTCACGGAATCCGTCACCGGAAGTTTTGGTTTCCTTGCAAATTCTTCTCACTCAACGCCACAACTCTCACTTTCATATCCGTCTGTGTCAAACTCTCTTTGGATCTCAACACTTCCATGCCAAGTCGCCAAGATCAGCTCGCTAAACTCAGCAGCAGCGTTTTCTTCTGCACCGTGATGGCTAATTCCATGCCTTCTCTTGGTTTCATGGTCACTCAAGACATCGTCATGAACCTCATGGCTTTAGGGATTCTGGTCGTCACCGACGTTGTCAACATCTGTATCCAATTGGGTACAGGTGCAATCTACGTTTTCCCACAAGAACACGCGCTCGTTATTGTTATCATGTTTCTAATGTTTATGATCTTGAGCTTCTCTGCTATCACAGTTCCCTCCACAAAGCGTTTCTTAGAGCTCAAGTACAAGAAAAAGTATGTGTTCGCTTTGAAGCAGTGTCCTTCGTATACAGAGAGAAGAAGAGGCGTTCCTGAGCTGAAAGAAGATCTGATGAAATTCTGGATGATGGCTCACACTTCTAGCCCTCAGTTTGTGATGGCTCGCTCTGTTACTTGCACCACCTCTGGTTTCCTCTGTTTCTTGAGTGCAGTCACGTTGACTGAAGCCATGGTCCGGTCTTACTTTCTTCAACCCCGGTCACTTAGGTTCTGTAATGGAAACTCTGACTACAAATGGTCAACCACTTTGGTTTTAGTCTCCCAGACAGCTGCAGTAGCCATAGGAACCGTTGCTCCGGCGACCAGATGGGTTAATGCAGTGAACTTGAGGTGTCCATCAAGAGCAAATAAAATTTTGAGAGATGAGTTGAGAGTAGAGAGTTATTGGGTAGAATGTCTCACTGAGAAGAAAGAAAGTCCCTTGAAACTTTGGATCTTCCATGGTCGTCGCAGCAGGAAGCTTGCACACGACTTAAACCGTTGGATACTTGATGTTTGTATTGCGACACAGTATGGGATCGTGTTGGCAAGCAAGCTTCTCCGTTTCATCACGGTCTACTTTGTGAGTAGAATCTTGCTATGTTGTTATATTTTCAGAATCAGTTCTATCTCAAACGCTGGCTCATCCTCGGGATCAAATTCTTCAGCGAGACGATTTGTTCTGTATCTTGAAGGAGAGGAGGAGCTGGTTGATTATATGGCACGGAGCAACCGTGAGGCCACAGACCACTTGATCCAAAAGGGTCGGAAGAAACAACCCATATGCTTGATAGAGCTCTTAGAAGCACGTAGCCAAATCTCAAAAGGATTTGAAGGGATTAGAGATTTTGACAGCGACGAGGTCGCTTCACTAACTTCTGGAGAGCCACCTAATTGTTGGGCGCTTCCACTAGTAACACTAACGAGTATCGCTGTTGCTCTTCCAAAAATCAAGCCTTGCTCTTTAAAGAAGTTATTGAAGGCTGTAAATGAGGCATTGTGCTATGTCAAAAAGTTTGAAGACGTCTTAGACATTGAAGGAGAGTTAGTTAACAGCAGGAAAGCTGCAGAAGTAGTTTGGTTAGGAGTTGATCTCTACCACAAATGGCTCAACGTGGATCTCCGAAAACTATCCAAGCAACATGAAACAACAACAACACCAGAAGAAGTTCTTAGAGAGCTAGTGGATATAGCGAAGAAAGAGTTTACAGAGTCGTGGCAGAGCAATCTCATATTTTGCATGACGCATAAGCCTTCGCACTGGCCCATCAAGACTCTAGCAGCAAACTCGATGTACCGAATAAGCCAAACCCTTTTGGAGAAATATGAATCAAGAAACATTGGAACAGAGGATACTCTGTTGAAAGATGTGGAAAGAATGGTATCGGACATAGTCGCAGGATGTTTTTGCAACACGGCACAGGTAATAGGAATGAAGTGTTTGGTGACAGCAGTGGAAGTGAGAGAAGCGTCGGTGAGAGAAGCGGCAATGCATCTAGGGAGAACAGAGAAGATACTTGAGATTGTGGACAGGAGATGCATGCCTGCTTTGCCTCATCACAAAGTGGCAAAGATTGATGAATGGAGAGAGTTTTATAGAACCAACGAAGCCATCTCTTTCACTCATCCTTCGTCTCAATGTACTACCCGTGAACTTGTTCTCACCTTAGATTAACATTTTAATGTCTAAATAGTTACAGCAATAATACGCATTTTTGTCGGTTAATGCACAAGTCAAACTATCAAATTTGCTTTGTTGACAAGCAAAAACGACTCTTCCAACGCATTTATCCTCCTAATTATTTGCAATAGCATGTCTCTCTCTTAGACCAATGCAAGTGTAAATAATATAACCTTGTCAACAAAAGCTGCTTTTGATTTTAATTTTCTTTTCTTCTTCTTAAAGTTTCAGGATTCTATATTGAGAATAAAAAGAAAAAGCATTGCTAAACTTCAAACCACCTTGAGACAAAAAAAACCGGTAAAACTAAACACTTAAACAGTGGGCTGGTTCCTGTTTCCGACCAAAAACTATTTAAAAACAGATTAGATAATCGATTTGTCAATTTACAAGTGGAAACAGATATTTTCACTTTCCCTTATAAGTAGACTTTCCCACTCACACCAAAATTCGACAAAGAAAAAAGAAACAAAAATCGTCACTGAAATTGCTACAGTTGATCTTCAATGGAGAACAATAACGCATCGAGTTCATCGCTGGGCCCAGGTGGGCTGGATCTGACCAGCGCCTTTTTCAAGCCCATCCAAAACTCCGATCCTCCAATCCCCACCAACCGCTGCACCAAGATCTCCGTCGTCGGCGTCGGAAACGTCGGCATGGCCATCGCTCAAACCATCCTCACTCAGGATCTCGCCGACGAGATCGCACTCGTCGACGCCAAGCCTGATAAGCTTCGCGGCGAGATGCTCGATCTCCAGCACGCCGCCGCTTTTCTCCCCCGCACCAAAATCACAGCTTCCGTCGACTACGACGTCACCGCCGGATCCGATCTCTGCATCGTCACCGCCGGCGCTAGACAGAACCCCGGCGAGTCCAGGCTTAACCTCCTTCAGAGAAACGTCGCTCTCTTCCGCCACATCATCCCTCCGCTCGCGAAGTCATCTCCTGATTCGATCTTACTCATCGTCTCCAATCCCGTCGATGTTTTGACCTACGTCGCCTGGAAACTCTCTGGTTTTCCGGTGAATCGAGTGATTGGATCGGGCACCAACCTAGACTCCTCTCGGTTCCGATTCCTAATCGCCGATCATCTCGACGTCAATGCTCAGGACGTACAGGTCAGTTCCATCAAAAGTTAGGGATTTGTGTTATGATTTCCGAAAAAAAAAACGTTTTTTTTTTGTTGGTAAAAATGTTAAGATGCAAAAAAGCATTCTTTCTCATTGTCACAGATTTGATGTTAAATGGTTTGATGATGAGAGGATGATCAATGGTTTTTTTGCAGGCATTCATTGTAGGAGAGCATGGAGATAGCTCAGTGGCATTGTGGTCGAGCATAAGTGTTGGAGGCATCCCTGTCTTGAGTTTCTTGGAGAAGCAACAGATTGCTTACGAGAAACAAACACTTGAAGACATCCACCAAACTGTTATTGGCGGCGCCTACGAAGTCATAGGACTCAAGGGCTACACTTCTTGGGCGATTGGCTACTCTGTTGCAAGCCTGGCTCGAACCATCCTCCGTGACCAGCGCAAGATCCACCCTGTAACGATCCTGGCTCGTGGATTTTATGGTGTTGACGGTGGTGACGTCTTCCTCAGCCTCCCGGCTCTGCTAGGACGCAATGGCGTGGTCTCTGTGACCAATGTGCATATGACTGATGAAGAGACCGAGAAGCTCCAAAAGTCGGCCAAGACTATATTGGAGATGCAGACCCAGTTGGGACTTTGAACATTATCTCTCTGCTTCAAACTTGTTTGGATTTTTAAACTTTTGTTTTTGATATGATCATCATCCACGGATGTTTTAATGTCTTGATCTCTTTGTGTTATGTAAATGCTTGTTCATGCCGAATGATCTCTTTGTGTTATGTAAATTCTTTGTTTCTATTTAGATTTTAATAGAAACAGAAGAATGATGTTGAGGGTGAAAAAAGTTTAATGGTGTAATGGTTTCAGGCTCTCAGCACACTTTGGGTGTCTCATAATCCTTTCTATTTGTGATATAGATATTTGGCGGTAAACATTATGAATCACACTTTATAACATTTTACATATTTGGTGGTAAACATTATGAATCACACTTTATAACATTTTATATGGTAAACATTATGAATCACATTTTATATTTGTGATATAGATATTTGGAGGAACCCAAGGGCGGTGCGTTAGTAGGTGGGGGGGGGGGGGGGGGGGGGACGTGCTCATTTTATATGTTTCTGTCCTGAATCAGTTGGTAAAACATGTCTCTCGTAATCATTAGGTGAAATGTTCGATTCCCCTACTTTTTTTTTTGTATAAAAAACTTTAAATGGCCAAAGGCATTTATATATTATATATTTATCTATAAAACTATTTCATATCTTACAACATTTTACACTATGATTTGAATTATTTTATTTGAAAATATATCAAAGCAAAAGTTTATAAATATTTTACTATTTTTAAAGAGTTAAACAAAAAAAAATATTTTTAATAGTTCATGGATTGACTAGAAAATTTGGAATCATGTGCATATTAACAATGCATATTAACAATGCATATTAGAATTGATGTCTCAAAATTGTAGTTATTTGCGAGTTATCTTGAAGAATAATTTATAGATTATCCCACTATATATAAATTTAGGTTTTAATTTTCAAATTTTTTAAAAAACTGAATCTTGCAAATCAAAATATTAGTTTAAAAATAAATGATATATTCAATTTACTAAATACTTTGATATACACAAAACTTTTAAAAGCCAAATATAATGTGCACAAAACTTGTATGTATAACAATTAATCTTCAATTATCACCAAAATAATGATGACACCTTCAATTTTTCCAATTTTCGAAAGGATTACAAGATAGCCACATACTTATGCCATGAAATTCATCAAACTCAACGCTTTTAGCTTTTTAAAGTGAGAAAGATCAGTGGCAAAACAATAAGCCATCTTTGGCTAGTTGACTTAGCTGATAGTGACCATTTAGGCAGAATTGAAACTTAAGGTGACAATGTGAATGAAGCTAAAAACTGTAGATGTTCTAACAAGAAATCATCGGCCTGATCATTTTCTCTCCTGAGAAAGGACTTGTGAATCGGAAAACAAACACTCATATATGTAAAGATATAAATATATACCACAAAAAGAGTACTAAATGACGGATGACTTACCGCTGATATTGTTACGCTGATTCGGGTGACTGGAGAAACAAGGTGTGGTCTTGCATCGGTAATCAGGTCTATCAGTATGGAAGATTCCCATATAACCTTCATTTCCTCCAAAATAGTCCATGATCTTGCAATATTGTTGAGGATTGAATAAGTTTAGATTTCCGTAACAGCAACCGCCAGACAATGTATATGCGCGATGGCTTCGTTTTAGACCTCACTCAATATTTTTTCATCAGTTTTCCCCCATCGAGGTGTGCAGGCGGTATGAGGTTTTCATGGTCCCACACCATGAAAACCGGACGATAATGAGCACTAGGAGCTCGAGTGAAAGGAGGATAAATTTTATTGTTTGCCACAACTCAAGAATCCGTCCAGAAAGATATCAGGCGTACTTTCCGAGTCTTGCAAGTTCGTTTTGCAATTGTTAAAAATCCAGTTCTAATTTGGATTAAAGAAAAGATTGGGAAGATTATGAGAGCATCCGTCATATTGCACAATATGATTGTAAAAAACAAAAGATGTAGCTACACTCTGTATGATATATCAGAATTCTAACAACCAGATGGATGCAGATCTTCACAAGTGGATATGACATACTTCTACAGATATACCTACAAATCTCGTCAATATGATCGGTATTTGAAATCATCAATTTCAATGGTGAAAGAATATTAACAATTTCAATGTTTTGTTCTCCTTTGTCTTATCCATTTTTACTGTTTGATGTGTATAAGTGTATCAGTAATCTTTTAAATTTGATACAATGATTCATTCTCCACAACTTTCTTAAACAGTAAATCAGCCAATTGTTTTTTTTTTTCCTAATTACATTGATCCATTGAAAAATATGGTAATTTACCCATCAACCATTGGATCTTAGAGAGAATATTAACAATTTTCAATGTTTTGTTCTCCTCTGTCTTATCCATTTTTACTGTTTGATGTGTATAAGTGTATCAGTAATCATATATATGATTTTAGGCCAACTCTCTCCAGCTGATCGCCACGTCAGCATAGGAAAGAGTGCCACGTGTCACTACAAAAATATCAAAAACTCTCGTCGTCTCGTCTTTTTCTTCTCTATTATCTTTCCAAATCAATCAAATGCAATTCATCGTCTCCTCAACTTCTTTTCCTATACATTTTTGGCCTATAGAAATATCAATATCTCTCAACGCTTGGACGTTTTTCCTTAGCTTCGTCTCTTCTTCTGGTGCTTCGCGATTTTACATCTTTCATCTTGTCTCTTAATTATTATTTTTTGTTCACATCGTTTCCTAATTTTGATATTGGGTTGATCGATCAACCAATCCTGTGATTTGATTGTTTGTATGCCAAATCCACATGATGGTTTAAAAGCTCCACACCATAGACCAACAACTGTTTTACTGGAGCAAAAGGCGTTGTGCCGCAAAAAAACATTACATATGTCGTTAATAACTGCACACAAAACCGAAACGTTTCAAGGCCTCAAGGGTAAGTGATTTCTCTCATTGTTTCACTTAAGATCTATCACAATCCAATCGCTGGAGCATAGATTCAGTAATAGATTACCTTTAACTGAAATTCAATGGCAAAAGTTTTCCAGTTTCCTGCAGCTGCTTATTGAGCTATACTAATTTTTTGGAGTTTTTACCTATTCAATTTTCTGTCAGTGAGTGATCCGCCGGCGAAGAACTTGCAGGAAGCATACATGATGGATGCGAGCGTCTAGAATGGTAATTGATTATTTCGATCTATCTAATTCAAATGATATTTCTTTACGCGTCTCTAATTATGTCTCAAGGTTTATGGCAGCTATTTAGATCTGAAGCAGACAGAGGCAAAACATTTTTAATCTCCGACGTTTAATTTTACTTTGAGACAGATGGATTACGAAAATTACATAGAATTACTGTTTCACGCTTTTCCGCAGCATATGTAGATCAAAAGCTCACTCATTTGCAAGGTTTGAATCTCTTTAACATTCCCTCTTGAGTCTCCAGTTTAGCTTAGTTTTTTCGGGTTCGTTTGTTTTCGTAGCTTAGGCCCTCATTTAGTTTTATTAACTGATTTTTTTCATCTCTTAATGGTGGCAGGTTCAACCACCTGACACCCTTTTGGAATTCGTATCCAAACAAAGAAATGCAGACCATGGGGAACAAAGAAACGCAAAGTTTGATTAAGAAGCTGAAAAGATTAATCGACTATTGCCTAGATGAGAGAAATTTTCTTTTGTGATCAACTGATCATGCTGCCTTGCAGACTTTTAATTGGATTTAGGTTGTGGCTGGTCCATGTGCCCTCGGGTTGGCTATGCCACCGGCAATGCTTGTAAGCTTTCTACTAAGTACAGATATCTCTGCTATGAATCAGACAATGTAAGATGTTGAAGAACATGATATATTCTTTAGGTTGGTACATCATTAGAACCAAGATGAGGATTACTCTTCGTGGTGGTGATATTCTTGAAAAAAATTATTCCGTTGAGTGTTGCCTTTAACAAAACCGGGACACTGACAAAGGGACACACTCTTGTGACTGAAGTTATTATCCTGAAGATCCAAGATTAAGCTCTCTGCTATTTCTGTGTATTTGTAATAAACATATGATTCCTTATGTCTGTAAACATCTGTTTCCTCATGTTCTGACGTCAACACAGTCTGATTGATACTTGGTTAGAAGTTCAGGTTTTGAGGTTAGCAGCTGCTGTTGAATCAAACACTACTCACCCTGTTGGAAAAGGGATTGTTAAAGTAGCTTGGGCTCATAATTAATGACATCACTGCAGGCAGAGGATGGAACATTTACTGAGAAGCCAGGGCTGCATTTGGGAGCTAAGAGTGGGTTCAGCGGTATAATTTGTTCATCTTTTGCATAAGTGTTTAGCTATCGACCAGTTTAACCAACCTTTTCTTCGTTTCATGAAACATCTAATGCCATGGGGAAGAGAATTATATTAAGAACAAGGCATATTGTAATAGGAAAGGAGTTACAAATATTGTCATAGCTTTTTTTTTCTTCTACGTTCCACTTTTGTTTCTCTTTGTTTTGAATTTGATTCAATTTTCTATCAAAAATAAAATATGTAATGTTACACCTCATGGTAATGGAACATTGGTCGCTTCTAGACAACGGAATGTATAATATTATTAACGGTAGCTAAGACAATGTTCATTTTTGTTTTTTCCTTTTCAATACATACTTTTAAAAGCTATATTGTTGTATGTGATGTATAAATAAGAGAAAAGATTATATAATGTATTAATAAAACATATAAATAAAAAAATTTAATATATTTTAAGTATAGCTTTTATAATATGTGTGCAATCACCTAGCTAAAACGATTTATATTTTGACACGGATAGAATAATTGTCTGTTTTCTTTCAATCATTCTAATCATATTAAACCTTATTCTAAAAAAAAACAAGAAGAAAGTATAATTGATTACAGTGTGTTCAATGTTTAAAGAGTACATAGAAACATTAATTATTTAAATTGGTAGAAATATCAAACATTTATAATAGTTCTAATTAAATAATGTATTCAATGTTCAAAGAGTACATGGAAATATTAACTATCTAAATTGATAGAAATATCAAACAAATAAAATAGTTTTGATTAAAGTAATTAGAATTTAAATAATTTAAATATAAATTTTATACATATAAATAATATTAATTTTTTACATGATAATTATAAAAAAAACCGCGCGTTGCGCGGATACTCACCTAGTCTTTTAAATATTAAAACCGTATGGTTGAGAAAATAAGAAAAAGGACCAACCACACATTATACACTCCAAAAATGAAACATACCAATGTGACAAGTGGATCAGTATTACGTGATATTTGTTCAAAAATCTAGACCGCCTGTGGATTAGATATTTAATATTAATTTATTTAATCATTACTTTAATAACTTTCTATGAATGCACACACTCACTCTTTTTTTTTTGTTGAATGGCCACTTGTTATATGCAGACGCTCGTCTTTGGCAAACGAACCACCGTGGTTTCACCTTCCCGTTCAAAACCAAAATCATCAAATTGCTACAATTGTTCTTTGATGGAGAATAATAACGCATCGAGTTCATCTCTGGGCCCAGGTGGGCTGGACCTAACCAGCGCCTTTTTCAAGCCCATCCAAAACTCCGATCCTCCAATCCCCTCCAACCGCTGCACCAAAATCTCCGTCGTCGGCGTCGGAAACGTCGGCATGGCCATCGCTCAAACCATCCTCACTCAGGATCTCGTAGACGAGATCGCCCTCGTCGACGCTAAGCCTGATAAGCTTCGCGGCGAAATGCTCGATCTCCAGCACGCCGCCGCTTTCCTCCCCCGCACCAAAATCACAGCTTCCGTCGACTACGGTGTCACCACCGGCTCCGATCTCTGCATCGTCACCGCCGGTGCAAGACAGAACCCAGGCGAGTCCAGACTCAGTCTGCTTCAGAGGAACGTCGCTCACTTCCGCCACATCATCCCTCCGCTCGCGAAGTCATCTCCTGATTCGATCTTACTCATCGTCTCCAATCCCGTCGATGTTTTGACCTACGTCGCTTGGAAACTCTCTGGTTTTCCGGTGAATCGAGTGATTGGATCGGGTACCAACCTAGACTCCTCTCGGTTTCGATTCCTAATCGCCGATCATCTCGACGTCAATGCTCAGGATGTACAGGTCAGTTCCATCAAAAAGTTAGGGATTTGTGTTTTATGATTTCCTCAAAATGAAAAAAAAAAAAAGCATTCTTTCTCGTTATGGTAACGATGTGTTGTTGAGACGACCCATCAATGGTGTTTCTTTGTTGGTATTTGCAGGCATTCATCGTAGGAGAGCATGGAGATAGTTCTGTGGCATTGTGGTCGAGCATAAGTGTTGGAGGCATCCCTGTCTTAAGTTTCTTGGAGAAGCAACAGATCGCTTACGAGAAACAAACACTTGAAGACATCCACCAAGACGTTATTGGCGGCGCCTACGAAGTCATTGGACTCAAGGGCTACACTTCTTGGGCAATTGGCTACTCTGTTGCTAGCCTAGCTCGCACCATCCTCCGTGACCAGCGCAAGATCCACCCTGTTACAGTTCTTGCTCGCGGATTCTATGGTGTTGACGGTGGTGACGTCTTCCTCAGCCTCCCGGTTTTGCTTGGACGCAATGGCGTGGTCGCTGTGACCAATGTGCATATGAATGATGAAGAGACCGAGAAGCTGCAGAAGTCGGCAAAGACTATATTGGAGATGCAGATCCAATTGGGACTTTGAACACTATCTCTCTGCTTCAAAAGTTTTAAACTTTTTGTTTTCGTTATGAACATCATCCCATGGATGTTCAATGTCTTGATCTCTGTATGTTATGTAAATGCTTGTTCATATGTAAATGCTTGTTCATTTCGAATGATTCCAACTTTGAGTTCTTTAGAGTTTAACAGAAAATTGTGGGGAAAAAAAAAAAGAGTTTAACAGAAACAGAAGAATGATGTGTGATATAGAAGTTTCATTGGGTAATGGTTTCAGTTAGATCATAATTTATCCAAAGACTGCATAATGCAGCTACCAGAATTACACAAACTACTAAATTAAAATATGAATGCTCTGATTTTGTTGGCTTTTTAGGTTATCTTAATAAAATGACTCAATTAGTTAATGTTTGACAATCCAAATAAGCAAAGGGATCTCTCATACTTAAAAGCGAGGGTAAGAGAGAAGCTTAGTTGGAAACCCTAGTGGATTCGAGAGTGAGAGAGAGAGCTTTTGTGCCTTCCATTAATCATTAGTAAGCCGTAGGGTTTAGCTTATACAACTACGATAGGATCGTGCGGGTCTAAAGGAGGTGTTTCTGAGCCCGGCCAAAGATTTATCTCCGCTTCTGGTTGTTCCGGTGGAGACACGGCGGAGATGAAGGGTCTTTTCAAATCCAAGCCGCGGAGTCCGGCTGATATTGTTCGACTGACTCGCGATCTCCTCCCCTACACCGATCGATCTGTCTCCTTCCCTGACCTTAAAGAGTCCAAACGCGAGGAAAAGGTTTCTCTTTTCAATCACAATCTCAAAACCCTGCCCTGAAATCTGATTAATCGTTGTCGGTTTCATCCTTTCGAATCACGTACTCTAGTGATTCGATTGATAGAGTCCTGCGCACTCAAATCCTGGATTTGATTTCTGACAATTGCTTGCAGGTGGCGGAACTAAACAAGAGCTTACGAGATTTGAAGGTAATACTCTATGGAAACAGTGAGGCTGAGCCTGTAGCCGAAGCTTGTGCACAGTTGACTCAGGAGTTCTTTAAGGGTGATACTCTTCGCCGCTTGATCACATCTCTTCCAAATTTGAACTTGGAGGTAACATCTCGTCACATGATTAAACCGAGAGAGAGACAGCCACTTGAGATGAATTTCTTGGCAGTATGCAAACACTTCAATAAGAAATTTGTCTTTTTTATTAGGCCAGGAAAGAGGCTACACAAGTTGTTGCGAATCTTCAGAGGCAACAAGTCAAGTCACGGCTTATTGCATCTGATTATCTTGAATCCAACATTGATCTTATGGATATTCTAGTGGAAGGGTGAGTTCAGGAGATGGAACTATACAATCGATGCTGCATTACATTAAGCATTTCGTTTATGGATTCCGAATTAAAAGACCTTGATCATGAGGTTTGTTTTATCAATCATGTGGGGTTTCTATGATTTCTCGCAGCTTTGAAAACACAGATATGGCGTTACACTATGGTACTATGTTTAGAGAGTGCATTCGCCACCAGGTTGTTGCAAAGTGAGCAAATTTTATATTTCCTTCGTTTGCAATATTACATACTAAATGTTTTTATCGACAAAGATACAATCTTCTACCCCATTTGTATATAGTAGCGATAATTTATGGAGCATATTATAATGGAAACTGCTTCTCTTTTCGGGGGTTCAGATATGTTTTGGACTCGGAGCACGTGAAGAAGTTTTTCTACTACATACAGATTCCCAATTTTGACATTGCTGCTGATGCTGCTGCAACTTTTAAGGTTCTTGTACACTGCAACATACTTGGAATTTCCACTACAGTCATGATTTTGATTCTTTTTTGTGAAACACGCCATCTTAACTTTTTAGTTCTGTGATATTTCTCTTGCAGGAACTTCTGACAAGGCACAAGTCTACAGTTGCTGCGTTTCTCACTAAGAATGAAAACTGGGTAAGTTCTCTTACAACGTACCAGATCATAAAACTTTTCTTCAAAGCATATGTATCTGTTTCTGTGTTTCATATCTGACAGTGCGGAATTGATATAGTATGATTCTCAGTTGTTTTGGTTTACAGTTTTTTGCAGACTACAACTCAAAGCTTCTTGAGTCAAGTAATTATATAACCAGACGGCAGGCTACTAAGGTAAAGTAACTTAGAGGACTGGTGATATCACAAATGTGTAATCACGAAAACGATAGGAGTGAGTGACAGAGCATCTGATGGATTGTAATGTGTAAAATTTTACAGTTATTAGGCGATATATTACTGGATCGGTCAAACTCAGCTGTGATGACGAAATATGTGAGCTCAATGGATAACTTGAGGATTCTCATGAATCTTCTGAGAGTATGATGCTTACCCGATACCTTGAGTGATTTTAATCTTGATGTCTTGCTTTGCCAAAAGAGATAATAGTATTGGAAATAACTTGAGCTCGTGGATGAAAAACTCCCTTGCAGGAATCAAGCAAGAGCATTCAGATAGAAGCTTTCCATGTTTTCAAGGTATCTTTCTTGTACCCTAAAGACATGGAGTTATTATACTCAGTGAAACAAAATCGTCAGTAAGCCGGTTTTGGCAATTGGATTTTGAATATTTGGAAGATGGCCGTCTTAGAGTGGTGTTAGTTGAGTTTTGAAAATAAAGATTTGAAGGGGCAATCCAAAAGTTCTCTAAATATTGTTGTGTTTGTACAGCTGTTTGTAGCAAACCAAAACAAGCCTTCAGACATCATCAACATTCTGGTGGCAAACAGAAACAAGCTTCTGAGATTGTTGGCTGATATCAAGCTGGACAATGACACCGGTATAGGACTTGTTTTACCAAAGAATGGAACGGATTCTCACCATAAACAAACTTCTAATGTTTATGATTCTTGTCTGTTTTGTGGCAGAGGACGAGGTCGAGAGGGAGAGGTTTGAAAGGTTTGAAGCAGACAAAGCTCAGGTGGTGAGAGAGATTGCAAGCCTTAAGCTCAGTGGCGGACTTACCTAGTATCAACGTCGTGTTTGTGCCCTTGATTTAGTCAGAAATATTTACTCTTGATCTCATTAATTCAATTTTCTACATTAATTTGTTTTTATCGGTCCATAGTTTAAACTTATTCACATGTATTAGTGTCGATAAAATAAAATAGCATTATTATCTCTGTTCAGAAGGAAAAATAGAGGCAAAAGCCCCACATCCTGATAAAAAATAATCATAAATGCATATGGGATTTTGACATTAACCTATTGAAAATGGATAGATAAGCTGATAAACCATTAAAAGGAAAAAACCACACTCTCTATGCACAAAGAGAAAATAAGAACCAAGTCTAATGCCTAATCTTAAGCATACTGAGACCGAGCGCCATTGGATGCTCCACGCTGAGCCGTTTTAGAAGATTCCTCATGTTTCCTTCTCTTAATGACCACATACCAAGTGAAGGCTTCGAGCAGAGCGGCCACAATGGCCAGAGCAACAATGATACCAATGTAAGCGTTTTTCCACTGCTTCTTGGGACTCAATATGTCTAGCCCTTTGAACACGTTCACCACCGCCAGGATGATCACCGTGTAGCCTATCGTGTGGTGGTAAATGTTCCAGTAAAGCCTGTGCTTGTGCTCTGGTTTTGGCCTCAGAAACATCGCAAACACCTAACGTTGTAGCACAAGAAAATATCAAAAGGCTATATATGTATTATTGGTTACCTATTTGATGTGAAGTGTATGTATTATACCTGAACTGTTGCTAGAGAGAAGAGAGCGATCCCAATAGCACGGTGAGTGCTATACTGAATCCCTGGTGAGTCGCCACCGAGTTTGAGACCAGTGGCCCATCCAGCCACGCCGATGACGTAAGCAGAAGCCTGGCAGAAAACGTGAATGTAGAACCAAGCAGGGTCTGCTGATTTGGCTACTCTCAAGTAGCGAGCAATGATTGCACCTATTGGCATCATTATTCCCCAGCTCACTCCATTCAATATTCCATGAATCTGCCACACCATTATTACCACAATCAGTCATTTTTTCAGAGAAAGAAAAAAACAGAGGAAAAGTATCCACAGAAGAAGAATTAACTCACGTTACGTTTCCTGAGCTTGGAACTTCCTCCAGCTCCTCCGGCTGCTGAAGAAACACCGGACACCAGATTGAGAGTGGACATGGTTCGAACATTGTTGCCTGAAGTTGGATGAGGCAGGACACTGTTCCCAGACATTGACCCATCTTGCCACACAGTGTTAATGGTTCCACCATTACCAAGATCCTGTGAAAGCCTCAGAGTTGCCAACACAACCATCTCATTGTTCTCATAAGTTGCAGACAAGCCAGAGACGTTGAAACTCAGCTCACCTTCTTGTAGACTTGTCTGGTAGCTTCTGATAGGGGAAGTGTAAACCCTGACTGTGCCGTCTGATTGTGGATAAGCCACGATGGCTTGAGCGCCCACCATTCCCGTAGACGTTGGGTTCACTGCCCAAGCAACCCATTTTCCAGAGGTGAGCTTGGTGTGGCGATAAGCTATGTGGAGGCTCCCTGTGGAAGAATCGTAAGTGTAGTGGAGGAAAGAATCAAGAAAAGGGAGGTCGTTGCAGGAATCAAAGACATTGTTGCTGGAAAACTTGTAGTTGGAACATGTCTGAGCAAAGGACAGAGTAGCCATTGACATGGAGAGGACTAGAGAGAGACAGAGAATTTGATTCAAGAACTTCATCATTGAGATATGATTACTCATGGGATCAGAATGTGAAGGAAAAGAGGGTTTGTAGAAAAAAAGACTCAGATGTAAGAGAAACAGATGGTTGAAGAAAGAAGAAGGAGAGAAAAGATAGATTAAATATGAAGAGAAAGTGGGGTTAGTTTTGTAGGTTAAGCTGTCTAATAGATATCATAATCTTTTTTCTTACACTTTAATTATAGTTCATATTATGCTTTTTTTTTTTTTTCATATTATGCTTGTTGCTATGGTTTGCTATTTTTTTTGTTTATGTAGTGTGAAAAAAAATGGTTTATTTTTATAAGAGAATTAGTGGCGTAGTCTGTGGATTTATACAACATTAGAATCACTCGTTTTGAAAATAAATAGCCTTTGGAAGTTAAAAAAAAAAAAGGAACAAAACTAGTTTATAGAGGGTAATTAATTTGAAAAAAAAATGGGGAAATTAATAATGGTGAGGGTCAACAACAACCGATTCAATCACACCTGTCTTGCCTGCGTTTGTTTCCAACAACTTATTTTCACATCATTTCTCTCTCTCTCTCTATGCATGTATATTCACAACAACTATTGGGTAGAGGCATCTTGAACCTAAAAGTAACTAAATAATTGAACTTAATTTGTTTGGGGTTATTGTCTTTTACTTAGACTAGTAATATCAAAATATGTCTAAAACATACACATACTTAGACGTGTATAAATAATAATAGCAAAAGAAAAGGACATGGGAGGCAAGGAGGAGTGAATGCAGGTGAGCAACCGCACCGGTCCGTGAGAGATCCGATTAACAAGTGGTTAGGTTGGGTTTAGAGTTTTTGTAGTCATTTTTAGTCAAACTCTCAACTGCCTCCATGTGGTTGTGGGACCCTTTATTTTCCGCGTGTCAACTTAATTTTGGTCCCTCTTAGTCAACCATTCTTGTCTTCTAGAGATGAGCCAGGATTGCAAAAAGAACAAAAAAAAAGACAAAACAAACTGTCAAGAGTGGGATTTGAACCCACGCCCTTTCGGACCCGCACCTGAAGCGGGCGCCTTAGACCAACTCGGCCATCTTGACTGTTTTGACTATAAATCACATTAATTTTTAATATTGCTTTGTCCAGACCGAAACCAAAATTTTATAGTGTGTAATTTATTATCTATATGAATTGCAAAAATATAAGCATTAGATCTCTTACTTGAAATCTCTAAAACAGAAAGCATCACCATTTCTAGAAACAAAACTTAAGTTCTGACATAAATAAGAATGTTCTACCAAACCTAGTGAAGGGTTTACTTGTGATATTGCAAATTAATATCCAGGAGAGAAGAAGACAAGCTTTGGGCAAAGTTGATGGTTTGACTTGCTTCATCAAACTGACAAAGAAAGCTTATTATTGGTAAAAAAAATAACAAAGAAAGCTTATTAATTATTGCCAAGTTACCAAAGGTCACTATTAATAACTTGACATTAAAGAGTGTTGTTACTCTATGGTGAGAATGAGTTGACGTGTGGTACACTGAGACGAAGGATGAGCAGTGGAAGAGATACATTTATTGGTCCTATAAAACTCTCTCCATCCATCGATGATGGCCACTTTGTGATGAGGCATAGGAGGGATGCATCTCCTGTCAATGATCTCAAGTATCTTCTCTGTTCTCCCCAGATGCATTGCCGCTTCTCTCACCGACGCTTCCCACACTTCCACCGCCGTTACCAAACACTTCATCCCCACCACTCTTGCCACGTTGCAAAAGCATCCTGCGACTATGTCCGATACCATCCTTTCCACATCTTTCAACAGAGTATCCTCTGTTCCAACGTTTCTTGATTCGTATTTCTTCAATAGTGTTTGGCTGATTCGGTACATGGAGTTTGCTGCCAGAGTCTTGATGAGCCAGCGCGAGGGCTTCTGCTTCATGGACAACATCAGATTCTTCTCCCACGACTCGCTGAACTCTTTCTTGGCCTTATCCGCCAGCTCTTTAAAAACTTCTTGTGGTTGTATTCTCTGTTGCTTGGATAGTTTCCGGAGATCCACGTTGAGCCACTTGTGGTAGAGATCAACTCCTAACCAAACTACTTCTGCAGCTTTCCTGCTCTTAGCTAACTCTCCTTCAATGTCCAAGACGTCTTCAAACTTTTTGACATAGAACAATGCCTCGTTTACAGCCTTGACTAGCTTCTTTAAAGCGCAAGGCTTGATGTTTGGAAGTGCAACAGCGATACTCGTCAGTGTTACCAGTGGAAGCGCCCAGCAATTAGGTGGCTCTCCAGAGGTGGTCAGAGAAGCGACCTCGTCGCTGTCAAAATCTCTAATCCCTTCAAATCCTTTTGAGATTGGATTGTTTGCCTCCAAAAGCTCTATCAAGTTCACTGGCTGTTTCTTCCGACCTTTTTGGATCAAGTGGTCTGTGGCCTCACGATTGCTCCGTGCCATATAATCAACCAGCTCAGCCTCTCCTTCAAGATGCAGAACAAATTGTCTTGTTGAAGAATTTGATCCCGAGGATGAGTCAGAGTTTGAGGTGAGATAACAACATTGCAAGACTCTGCTCACACAGTAGACCGCGGTGAAACGGAGGAACTTGCTAGCCAACACTATCCCATACTGTGTTGCAATGCAGAGATCAAGAACGCATCGGTATAAGTCATGTGCAAGCTTCCTGCTACGGCGACCATGGAGGATCCAAAGGTTCAAGGGACGTTCTTTCTTCTCAGAGAGACACTCTATCCAATAGCTCTCTACTCTCAACTCATCTCTCAAAGCTTTATTTGCTCCTGATAGACACCTCAAGTTCACTGCAGTAAACCATCTGCTAGCCGGAGCAACGGTTCCTATGGCTACTGCAGTTGCTTGGGAGACAAGAACCAAAGTGGTTGACCATTTATAATCAGATTCTCCATTGCAGAAACCAATTGACCTTATGGGATGTAGAAAGTAAGATCGGAGCATGGTTTCAGCCAACGTGACAGCACACAAGAAACAAAGGAAACCAGAGGTGGTGCAAGTGACAGAGCGAGCCATCACGAACTGTGGGCTACAAGTGTGAGCCATCATCCAGAACTTCATCAGATCTTCTTTAAGCTCAGAGAAACCTCCTCTTCTCTCAGTCTGATACAAAGGACACTGCTGCAAAGCGAGCTCGTAGCTCTTCTTGTATCTAAACTCCAAGAAACGCTTTGTGGCAGGGACTGTGATTGCAGAGAAGCTCAAGATGACGAACATCAGAAGCGTTAGAAGGATAACGAAAGCGTGTTCTTGAGGGAAAACGTAGATGGCACCTGTACCCAACTGGATACAGAGGTTGGCAATGTCGGTGATGACAAGAATCCCAAGAGCCATGATGTTCATGAGGAGATCTTGAGTGACCATGAAACCAAGAGAAGGCATGGAATTAGCCATCACGGTGCATACGAAGACGTTGCTGCTGAGTTTTGCGAGCTGATCTTGACGACTAGGCATGCAAGTGTTGATATCCACGGAGAGTTTGACGCAGACGGCGATGAAGGTGAGTGTGGTGGCGTTGAGAGAGAAGGATTTGCAGGGGAACCAGAACTTGCGGCTGCGGAAGCCACGGAGAAGATCTGCAAACATGGCAACTCCACAGATGAGTGAAGCAGCTGCCACGTAGACACCTATCCAAGGTAAAGGCTTGCTGAACTCTGTATCGCTGAGATTGCCATGGCCGTCACACCCCATTGTAATGCTCTTTGTTGATGTTGTTCTGTTTCTTTCTATGCTTCTTCTTCTTCTTCTGTGTTCTTCTATTTATATGTAGAGTGAGAGTGAGAGAGTGGTGTCTTGACGTTGATAGATGTTGTTGTGAATTCAATGTTCTCAAGACTCATTCAGAAGACTCATTCAGAAACGATGAATGTTTTTTTAACTTGAAACGATGAATGTTGTTATGAATTTAATGTTGTGTAGACTCATTAGGAAACGATAAATGTTGTTATGGATTTAAATGGTGTGTAGACTCATTCAGAAACGATGAATGTTTATAAATTTAATGTTGTGTAGATTCGTTCAGAAATGAACTCGTCAAATTAAGCTGCTTGTTTTGTCTCAAGTTAAAAACTCATTCAGACTTCAGAGACTTGTCACACGTCATGTCAACGCTTCTTCGTCTGATGGTAAGATACGAGACGGAGGCAAATGAAGGAAAAATGGGCTGTATTCGATTTTGATTGTCACTGGGCTTTAAATGGGCTTCTTTGGGCTGAAAGTTTACGGGGCGGGTTATAGAAAATCGGGTCGGGTGAATGGTCCGGCCACATAAACGTTTGAGCAATCCAAAATTCTCAAACTTTAACGACTGAAATGGCGGCCACGTTTCTGCCGGCGACCTCTCTCCGTCTCACTCAATACTCTACTCTCCGATTCTTATCCTTCTTCTCAATCTCTAAACCTTCTCATTCTCTCTTCCGCCCTCTACGCCGCCCGGTACTCCCGCTTCTCGACGCCAATGCTCGCCGGGGATGTTTTTGCACCGCTGTTTCTGAATCTCTCGGCTCCGGAGAGGGAAAGAAAGTTGAGAGTTATGAGAAGCGGTTTGGGAGTAAAGTTGGAGAATTCAGGAGGAAGTTGAAGATAGCTGAAGTGAAAGGAGGAGAAGACCAAGGGCTTGGCCGCGTCGGGGAGAGTCTCAGCATTGTGGGTTGGGTTCGGACACTTCGATCTCAGAGCAGTGTCACGTTTATCGAGGTAAATTATGAGCCCGTGTTCAAAAGAGATTTATTGTTTGCTTGCTGAAGTAATTTTCGTTTGTTTTGAAGATAAACGATGGTTCATGCTTATCGAACCTGCAATGTGTCCTGAATTCGGATGTGGATGGGTATGATCAGGTATAACAAAATTGAAGACATACATTTCAAATGCTATTTCATTGCTTTTGACTTGAGAGCCTTTGGATTTTATAAGATCTCATTTCAGTCATTTTTTTGGGAATAATAGGTAGAATCTGGTTCGATCTTGACTGGAGCATCGATATCTGTACAAGGTACTCTTGTGGCCAGCCAGGGAACAAAGCAAAAGGTGGAACTGAAGGTTGAGAAAATCATTGTGGTACGTCTTTGCTCCTTCTACTTTGAGTTTCTTGAAACTTGAAAATACGTTTCTTTGAGTCTTGTCACTTACTACTGCCACTTGATCCCAGGTTGGAAAGTGTGACTCTTCCTATCCCATCCAGAAGAAAAGGGTCAGCCGGGAATTCTTGAGAACCAAGGCTCATCTTCGTCCGAGAACCAATACTTTTGGGGCGGTAATGTTTCTTGTCTTCTAAGGAGAAAGTACATGCAACTTTCCTATTTCATTTACTTTTTTAAGTGTCCTGAAACTGCACAGTCGCATTGCTGCCTTCTTGGTTAATTGATGTCTAATGGCAATTAAAATTGCAGAACATCTCTTTTTTTTTCAGGTGGCGAGAGTTAGGAATGCTTTGGCATATGCTACACACAAGTTCTTTCAAGAACGTGGATTTATCTGGGTGGCAAGCCCAATTATCACAGCGGCGGATTGTGAAGGAGCTGGGGAACAGTTCTGTGTCACTACACTCGTAAGGACCTTAGCTCTCACCATCACAGTATTCTGTTAATAACTCATAAACAGCTTGATCGTTTTAACTAAGTACTACAACTCTCAACTCCACATGGTGGAATTCTTAAAATACACCTAAACTATACTTAACTTTTTAGATTCCCAGCTCCCATAAGACCACCGATTCTTCCATTGATGCAATTCCGAAAACAAAGGGAGGGTTGATCGATTGGTCTCAGGTGTGTTCCAGCTCCACATCTTTTGTATCTTAAGAATGGTAAAAGATGAACTTGCAACTGTAACACTGTAACACTGTATTACTCCTCAGGACTTCTTTGGGAAACCAGCATTCTTGACTGTATCTGGGCAACTCAATGGAGAAACCTATGCGACCGCTCTGTCAGATGTATAAGCTGACTTCCTCGTTTAATCATGATCTAGATTTTGGTTAGTAAGTGTCTGAATTTCTCATCTGTTTGACTTTCCAGGTATACACATTTGGTCCTACCTTTCGAGCTGAGAATTCCAACACTTCCAGGCACTTAGCCGAATTCTGGGTCAGCATTATTTCATCCTCCAGCCAAACTCACAGTTGAATTTTTTTTAACTAACTGCATTTTTCTGAAGACCTCTCTTTCTACCATATAAGATGATCGAACCCGAACTTGCTTTTGCGGACCTGGATGATGACATGGCCTGTGCCACCGCCTACCTCCAGTACGTCGTATGTTGCTCGGTCACTTGATGTTTCCTTCAAACTAAATGAGCTTGTCAGTTTTGTAACGCCATCTAGGATTAAATTGATTATAATTTATCTCTTGATATTTTGACAGGTAAAATACGTTCTTGATCATTGCAAGGAAGACATGGAGTTTTTTGATACATGGATTGAGAAAGGAATCATTCAACGCTTGAGTGTATACTTTCTGATTCTCACTCTGTGACCAGAAAAGAATGTTGTGTAGTTTGCACTGGCTGATAATATGTTGGTTTTTCTAATCTTTTTTGTGAAGGACGTAGTTGAGAAAGATTTTCTACAGCTGGGTTACACAGATGCCATTGAACTTCTTCTGAAAGCAAACAGAAATTTTGAATTCCCGGTAAATGCTTCACTTTCCCCTTTTAGAATATATTCGAGCTGCAAATTTTGGAATAAAAATGCAAAATTGCTTATGCATTTCTTTTTCTCATGCAAGTTGTACTGTTTTTGGTCTCTGAGCTTGTCTTTTACATGTGTGTGTGTTTTGGTATCTTCTGTGTAAGTAAACTGTGATTCTAAATTCATTTTTAAGTAGGGGTTTTCTCGTAAATGATATTTCGAGTTGAGAAAAAGTCATGCGTTTCCTTGTCCATTAACATGCGGGAAGCTGTGTCTGATAGATTTGCATATTGCAGGTAAAGTGGGGGCTGGATCTACAGAGCGAGCATGAAAGGTACATTACAGAAGAGGCATTCGGGGGTCGCCCTGTGATAATAAGAGACTATCCGAAGGAGATAAAAGCGTTCTATATGCGGGAGAATGATGATGGGAAGACAGTGGCAGCAATGGATATGTTGGTGCCTCGGGTAAGATTGATTAAGATTATGCATGAAACAAAACAAAAAGAAACTTGTTTGATAAGAAGTTGATAATGAACGATGTTGGGTTTGGATAAGAATAGATTGGAGAGCTGATAGGTGGAAGCCAAAGAGAGGAAAGGATTGATGTATTGGAAGCGAGGCTTGATGAGTTGAAACTCGACAAGGAGAGCTACTGGTGGTACCTTGACCTCCGCCGCTATGGTTCAGGTCTCTTTCTTCTTCTGAATCTTTCTAGTTACTTTTTTCTTGAATCTTGCTTCAATGGTCCAGTAAGCGTAGATAGAAGAAACTTGGAGGCTGATGTAATGCCTTTGTTACTGTGTGTGTGTATGTAGTTCCTCACGCAGGATTTGGGCTAGGGTTTGAGAGGCTGGTCCAATTTGCCACCGGAATCGATAACATCAGAGATGTTATTCCTTTCCCGCGTTCACCTGGCTCTGCCGACTTCTGATTACTCCATGTCTCATCCACATTCTTTACCCATCCTTAAACCTCCATTTATTTTTCTCTCTTCATTTCCTCCAAACTCTTGTACTCTTAGGTGCCATTAGTTATTTGAAATAATCGAGAAAGAAAAGAAAAGATCATTGTTTCGTATGGGAGATGAAAGTTTTGGTTTCCTAAAACAATGTCACGAATATACAAACTTCCTCTTATCTCTCAGTACTCAGTAATAAAAGGTTCACCTGTAATAACATATTATATCTCTTTCTATCAACAAAGAATATCTAATATAGTAAAGACGCCTGACAAAATGGTAGCCATTTATTTCCCCAATAAGAAAGTAGGCAGATAGAAATGACAACTATGCCATCCCTTCTTAAACCCTCCTCTTCGGTCACTTTCTTTGTCTCCTTTACACGTCTCACTTTTTATTGATTCTGCGCAAATTCATGCTAAAAAGAGAAAAAGTTACACACTGCCCAAGATTCTTAGTGAGTGTGGTATCGAATTCTTCGCCATCCTTTTCGATTATATGATATTTTGTTCCTTCTCTTAATTATTTTCCCATTTCACTTCTAACAAGGTGATTGATTTATTTTGTGCTCCGATCGTTCTTTAAATTACATGTAGTGAGTTTGTGATTCTTCAATCTGGTTTTCTTTGTTGTGTAGATAATGATCGTTTGTTTTGTCTCTTTCAATAGCCATATCAAAAACTGGATTATGTTCACATAACAATATGATCATGTGTTCTGTTTCGTTTGACTCTGTTCCAGGAAGATTTCTGGGTTTGTCTGTACTACTTAAGATTAAAGTCTGAATCTTCTGTCATGCGTGTTAATTATCATGAATCATGATATGTTTCTGCATCTTTTTGATAGATGCAATTCGTTTCTTCATTGTCGATGAATAAGTGGTTGATTCTCTGCTAAGGTCCCAAGTTATTCACTTCTCAATCCTAAACTCTAATCCACCTTTTGGATTCAGTATGTATAATATATTAAAGCACACTAAATCATTATTGGTCTTGAAGAGAAAACGGTTTGTCGTTGATATTTTTCATCTGATCAGAGTTTCATAGTTTGGCTGTTCTATTATTTTGTCAATGCAGGAGATCATATGCTGCTCAAAGATGAAGAGAAAGCATTACTATGAGTTGAACCATTCGTTTGATCCATGTCGTAAGTGCTTTAGAAGATCTATGTCTCCTTTTCTTACGTAAAATATTCTGCATCAAGTTAAAGTGAGTGACTTATTATATGTTGGTTGGTCTGTTGTGGCAGCTTTCGAGGTCTTCTGCTCGGGGACATGGAAAGCCGTCGAGTACTTAAGGATCGAGAATGGAGTGATGGCGATGCAACTTCTGGAAAACGGGCATGTATTAGAAGATGTAAGACCTTTTCAGAGGCTTCGTCTTAGATCAAGAAAGGCGACTTCGATCGACTGTAACTCTTTTCTACGGCATGGCGTCGATGTTTGTGTTCTCTATCACAAAAGTGTCTCTTTGGATGAAGAGACTCCAGAGCATGACATGGAGCCGGTATGTTCACTTCCTTTGATTTTCCTTCTTTATACCAAAACGTAAAAGCAGAACACTCTAGAAAAGGAAATAAAGAAGTTAGGATCTTCAATTCATTTTCTTAAATCGAGAAAGTAGAAAGAACGTGTACCAGCCTCCAAAATCAAGAAACTTTGCGCATTTTGTGGCTTTTGTTGAGACATCTCTGTATTTGGTGTAGGTTTGGGTTGATGCAAAGATTGTATCTATAGAGAGGAAGCCACATGAATCCGAATGCTTGTGTAATTTCTATGTCAGCATTTATATAGACCAAGGCTGCATCGGTTCGGAGAAACATAGAATTAATAGAGCTTCAGTGCTCGTGGGACTCAACCAAATCTCTGTTCTCCAGAAGTTTTTCAAGGAGCAAAGCATGGACCGGTTCTACAGATGGAGATTCTCCGAGGACTGTGCTTCGCTGGTGGAAACAAGACTAACCCATGGCAAGTTCTTGCCTGATCTTACGTGGTTGTTTGTTACATCAGTCTTGAAAAGCATTGTGTTTCACATCAGAACAATTCAGGAGAAGATGGTTTATCAGATTGTGACGGATCAAGACTCACAAGGCTCTAGTAGTTCTCTGAGTGCAATGAATATCACGGTGGAAGATGGAGTTTACATATCCAAGGTGGTTTTGTTCAATCCAGATGGGGATGATGGTACTCATCAAGATCCTGATGTACAGCAAGAAAGTGAAGAGGAGGTAATGGAGCTGCGTCGATCCAAGAGAAGACACGTGCGGCCTGATAGATTCGCTTTCTCTGAGAGTCAGCTAGATTCAAAGGATGGATGGGTAAGGATGATGCCATATAGGTACAGCACTTGGAGTGTTTTTAGTGATGATGACGAAGAAGATTGTGAAGATGATGATGATGATGATGATGATTATGATGATGGAGATACCGATGATGATTTGTACATACCGTTATCACATTTGTTTGGAAAAAAGGGAAGCGCAAAGGGATTTAGTAAGAGTAAACAAAGAGAGATTGTTTTGGAAGACAAAACAGAGAGGAAGAAGAAGATGAAGATGAAGAAAAGAGAGGGATTTGGTCGGAATTCTGAGTTGTCCGTTATTCCTTTCACTCCGGTGTTAGAACCTATACCATTAGAACAGTTTGGTCTCAATGCAAATAGTTTGTGTGGTGGTGTCTCTGGGAGTAATTTGATGGATGAGATAGATAAGTATCGTAGTAAAGCTGCTAAATACGGGAAGAAGAAGATGTCTGAAATGGATGAGATGGAGTCTGATCTGTGTTGGAAAGACAACCTCCGGAAGTCTTTCCAAAAACTAAAAGGACCTCATTCCCGAAGACGGTCTGTTTCTGGGAAAACTGGAAATTCCGATGAACCACAGATTTATACGAAGAGAACATTGAGCGCAGGTGCGTATAACAAGCTGATAGATTCATACATGAGTAATATCGATTCCACAATTGCAGCCAAGAACGAAGCAACCAGTGTTGTAGAGCAGTGGGAGGAGTTAAAGAACTTCACAAGCACTTCAATGGAAGCCGAAGACATGTGCAGTGAGGATGATGATGATGATGATGATGATGGGGAGACGTCAGAGAACGAGATGTTATGGAGGGAAATGGAACTATGTTTGGCTTCTTCTTACATTCTTGATGATAGTGAGGTATACTCTTTTTTGATATCTTTTGATACTTTCCTAACAAGGTGCGTTGTTAACTCGTTATATCATTGGATTTGAGATTTTAGGTGAGAGTGGATAACGAGGCGTTCCAGAAAGCAACCGGTGATTGTAAACATGATTTTGAGTTGAATGAAGAAATCGGAATGTGTTGCAGATTATGTGGTCATGTTGGAACGGAGATAAAACATTTTTCTGCACCTTTTGTAAGTGAAACTCTGGAAAATGCCTATCGTGGAAAATACCTATCGATGGTCTCACCAATAGTAGTGTTTAAGTGTTTAATTTTTTTTATAGGCGCAACACAAGAAATGGACCACAGAGACTAAGCAGATTAACGAAGATGACATTGATACTAAGGTGAAACAAGATGAAGTCGAGAGCCGCAATTTCACAATGACCGTTGTTGCTGCGTCCTCGGAAACTCCCTCTGCCGAAGAGAGTGACAACGTTTGGTCACTGATACCTCAGCTTAAAAGAAAACTGCATATGCACCAGAGGAAAGCTTTCGAGTTTCTCTGGAGAAACCTAGCCGGATCAGTGGTTCCTGCAATGATGGATCCGAGTTCAGAGAAGATTGGTGGCTGCGTGGTTTCTCACACTCCCGGAGCAGGCAAAACATTTCTGATCATAGCTTTTCTTGCGAGCTACTTGAAGATATTCCCCGGGAAGAGGCCTTTGGTTCTTGCTCCCAAAACAACATTGTACACATGGTACAAGGAGTTCATCAAATGGGAGATTCCCGTCCCGGTTCACTTGATCCATGGACGCAGAACCTACTGTGTGGTCAAAGAGAACACGATTCAGTTCAAGGGAGTTCCAAAACCGAGCCAAGATGTTAGGCATGTGATTGACTGTTTAGACAAGATTCAGAAATGGCATGCACAGCCGAGTGTTCTTGTAATGGGTTACACATCGTTTCTAACACTGATGAGGGAAGATTCCAAGTTTGCTCATAGGAAACACATGGCTAAAGTACTGAGAGAATCTCCCGGGCTTGTGATTCTAGACGAGGGACACAACCCGAGGAGTACCAAGTCAAGATTACGAAAGGCCTTAATGAAAGTTGACACCGATTTGAGGATCTTGCTTTCGGGTACATTGTTTCAGAACAACTTCTGTGAGTACTTCAACACTCTGTGCTTGGCTAGACCCAAGTTTGTTCATGAGGTTCTAATGGAGTTGGACCAGAAGTTCAATACCAACCAAGCTGTGCAAAAGGCGCCTCACTTGCTTGAAAACAGAGCGAGGAAATTATTTCTTGACATTATAGCCAGGAAAATCGACACAAAAGTGGGAGATGAGCGCTTGCAGGGTCTCAACATGTTGAAGAATATGACCAGCAGTTTCATCGATAACTATGAAGGAAGCGGAAGCGGAAGTGGTGATGTTCTCCCGGGTTTGCAGATCTACACATTGTTGATGAATTCTACAGATTTACAGCACAAGACTCTTACTAAACTTCAGAACATAATGTCGACTTACCATGGATATCCCCTCGAGCTCGAGCTTCTCATAACCTTAGCAGCTATCCATCCTTGGTTGGTCAAAACCTCTACATGCTGTGCGAAATTCTTCAACCCTGAAGAGCTTTTCGAGATCGAGAAGCTCAAGCATGACGCCAAGAAAGGATCGAAAGTCATGTTTGTGCTTAACCTTGTGTTCCGGGTGGTCAAGAGGGAGAAAATCCTCATCTTCTGCCACAACATCGCGCCAATCCGTCTGTTTATTGAGCTGTTTGAGAATGTTTTCAGGTGGAAGAGAGGCAGAGAGCTCTTGACCTTAACAGGGGATCTTGAGCTGTTTGAGAGAGGAAGAGTGATAGACAAATTTGAAGAACCTGGAGGCCAGTCCCGTGTTCTTCTGGCCTCGATCACAGCCTGTGCAGAAGGGATCAGCCTAACCGCTGCTTCACGGGTGATCATGCTTGACTCTGAGTGGAATCCTTCTAAGACAAAGCAAGCAATCGCACGAGCGTTCAGACCAGGACAGCAGAAAGTGGTGTATGTTTACCAGCTCTTGTCCAGAGGAACACTTGAGGAAGACAAATACAGGAGGACGACTTGGAAAGAGTGGGTCTCGAGTATGATCTTCAGCGAAGAGTTTGTAGAGGACCCGTCTCTGTGGCAAGCTGAGAAGATTGAAGACGATGTTCTCAGAGAGATCGTTGAGGAAGACAGAGTCAAATCCTTTCATATGATCATGAAGAACGAGAAAGCTTCAACCGGTGGATAATTCGGGTACATTTTCAGTTAAAGTTTCTGTTTCACCATGTCTTTGATGATATCTTTGATGATGATGATGATGATGATTCTTCTAACAACATGTTGTATATGTAATAAAACCATTCCTGTAGGATCATAATCTTAAATAATGATCATGCAATAACACTTTGTGTAATAATTTGACCGTAGGATCATAATCTTAAATAATGTATTCAACATACTCTTGTTAAATTTAACAATCACCAACTGAGAAAGTTGATTTCAGAAAAAAGTTTCAAGAGTATTGGGCTTCTTCTTGTTTCACGTCCTTTCTCAGTCCCTTGTCTTCATCGTTAGCCATTGTTCATGGAAACTTTTGGTTTCCGTTCAAGTGTAATATCAGACAGCTTAGTTAAAGAAGATTTCAGAAATGCCTCTGTGTTTTCACTTGGCCTGAATCAAATCTGGAGGATTCCGGTCTTTTGGACCTTGGATTGAACTCTTGTAACCACTTCTGCGCTTGGATTCTGAGATGGATTTGTGATCACCTCGTTAGTGAAGAACCAGAATTTAGCAGTATGAAAAAAATAATCTGTATATGATCTTTCTTGCAAAATATAAGAAGAAAGTTCTTGTCAGAGGGAGTTCCTTGCAGAAATTTTCTGCCAAAAATGGAAACTTGAGTTTGGTAACAAGTGTTATTGCTACTCTCACTGATTTTTCTAGAGATAAAAACTTCATAAGTTCAATGGCCCTCACAAACTTGTCATCTGAAAGAAATTTAAGAATCTCGTGGTAAGAATTTGGACCATAACTTCACATGGATGTTAAATTGCTCTTAGTATCCGAGTTCACACATGCATGTGCTAAAACACATATAAATGCTCGACTTACTACTACAACACCAGCTGATGAGCCTTGGTAAGTTAGTTTGCATTTATCTTGAGAAGCTTCCAGGTCATAAGCATCATCAGTTAACACTCCCTACAAGTTTTATGACGTGAAAATGATCTAATATCCCAACTTTTAAAATCAACAACTCAAAATAAATTCCAAAAATCTGGAATCCGCAGGATTGTCTTAATCCGAAACAATTGAAACAAAAATTCTGCTTCTCCTTTTTGAGTCCATCACCAAGTGGAGATCCGAGCATACCAAAATAAGCTCATTAGCGCATTCATTGCAGAGCCGATAGTCGATTTTCACGTACTGAACAACACGGACTTGAATCTATTAATCATCGGTCGATTCACAAAAAAAAAAAAACAAAAACAAAAGGGTACAATATGAGAGGAAATGGAGTTAGGGAGATGATAATTGGCAATTAACCAAAGAAAGTGTTGGTTCCTAAAACAATGTCACGAATATACAAACTTCTTCTTATCCCTCTCAGACACACCGACTGAGATTGAGAGAGATAGAGAGAGAGAAACATTTGACTAAAAAAATCAAAAGCACACCTACAACATATAATATATCATCTCTCCCAACCAACAGAGAAGTTTTTTTTTTCGAGCATGCAATTAAATTAAAAACAACCTAACAGCAGCCGAGAGACTGCCCTCTTACATCTTTTTCTCCGCTAAGGTTTTATGTGCACTTAGCTCCTGCTCCTTCCACCACCTACGTGCCTGCCAAACAAACATCAACAGTCTCCCCTCAATATCGCTGCCTGCAAGTTATTTCACCATTGGACACTATATAACATCACCTCTACAGTTACTTTTTGCTCTGACTTTGGTGACTTTTGCTGTGTGACATCGAAGGAATCTTCGAGGTCATCATCGACGTTTGCAGACCTTCAAGTAGCTGCAGATCAACACACACAAGTTCAACAAGAAATCAGGGTTATATCAGTGATTCAGTTTCCATATATAAATTTTATTTCCCGTATACTTACTCTAGAAGTTGGCTGAATCCTGCGGACAGATCTACGTGGCTCCATTCCATCTGATGCTTTTGAAGAATTCTCAGCCAACGCCTTATCCTCTTCGATCTTCGCTAACCTCCCTGCAGTAGGAGCCACTTTCCCTTTATTAGTGCCCGAGGAGGAACTATTCTTGGAAATATTATCTTGGCCTTGGGAAGATGATGTGGTTTGCTCTTCCCCTGTTCCCTTGGATGGAACACTAGTAGTTGTTTCAGATGCAGGACCCTTGTTCTCTCCACTCTGATCGACGACATTATCAGATTCCATATTTGACGCCGTTGTGTTACGAGAGTCCTTGCGGGGAATTATCCTAGCTGCAGCAACCGGTTTCTCTTTGGTCTTGGACACGGGTTTGAAAGTTTTGGGCTTCGATATTGTTGTCTGTTTCTCTCTGGAAACAGTTTTAGAAGGCATTCTCCAGCTCCCTGGTCCTAAATTTTGGGTCACAGTTGGTTTCACAGGCTTAGCTGGTTCCTTCCTTTCCCGAGTTTTAGTGTTTGCCTCTGAAACATAGTGTTTGCTGACGTCCATGAACTTCCTTTTCTTTCCAGGTTTAGGGACACCAAAAATTGCTTTTGATCCCTGTATTTGCAAACCAGTTCTCTTCATTCGGAGTGGATCGGGTTTGCCTTCCTCTCTGGTACTCCTTCCAATGTTGAATGTATTCTCTGAAACACCGAGGTCAAGAACAGCAGACTGAGGCGGTTTCCCTAAACTTGGATCATCAACAATCTTCATTTTCGTGTCTTCTCCTTCAGCCACAGGAGCGGGAACTCCTAACCTGGGACGCTTCTCCTTTGGAGTATCACCCTGCAATTCAAATTTTTGAGTCTTGCAACATAGCCAAATATCCAAAAGAGAAGCCTCTAGCTTCACTGAAAAGTCATAATACCTCATGTGACGAGCCGATGTTTTCTCCTGAAGTAGAGCATTCAATCCACCTGCCATCTTTCCATACAAGAGAAGGACGAAGATTCCAAGCTTTGATCGTCAAAGTGTCTCCTTGTGCTGCAAAAAAATAAATTAAGAAGAAAGAAAGTTTAGACCACAGAGGATCAAACAAGCAGTTTAGAGCAAGAAAATGAGATATCTTCATTAGGTACATTCACGTCTCTACGCACCAGGAAAATGCACAGTCACTGTATTTTCATCTTTCTTGTTCTTCTCCGTGATCACACCCTCCAACCAACTGAAGGAGAACAGAACAAATATAGAAAACTTTTCAACGTTCGTGGAATGAATAGGATTTTACAAAACGGTAAATTAAAAACGATTAACAGATTTTGTGTTTTGGGCAGATCACTGTTAGGGTTTCGCATATAAACAGCAGGTAAAAGAGACAGTGTTTACCTGTCATGCACCCACGAGTCTACCCTATCCCCAATTTTCCAAGCAGGATCCCCAATGGCAGCTCTACGTCTCTTCCTGGTTCCTTCGTATGGCATAGCAGTAACAGAACGAGCAGCTCTTATTTTCGGGGCCTCATCACCTTCACCTTTGAGGGCTACCCACTCCTTTAGCTTATCTGTTCCTGGTAAAAGATAAAATAAAGGATCAACTAATCAACTAGTAAACCAATGGAGCTTCTTCATAGGAGTTTCAGAAATCAGTTCTGCATCCTTTCAAGGAAGCCGAACATGCATCTACTATGATATTGGAAAAAGGGTGATTACATACAGTTACATATTTATCATATACTTGGAGAAATTTGTAAAGTAAAAGATTTGTCGATCAGAGATTATGATTAAATGGATCTATGGCTTGCCAAGCCATCGAATTACCAAATACGGAGCCATTCATGTACAACATAAAAAAAAGTAAGTGGTAAATTAGCAAACCTTGTTCTACAGAGAGGTCACTGAACATCACGTAAGCTTTATCATCCTCTAAGCTCAATACATTGGCAGAGTACCATGCAGTTCTTAATTCAGGTCCTTCCTTGTAAACCTACATCGGAAATTTAATCTCTGTTACAAAGGAACACAACCAACCACAAGCCGTTACTTATAAGGAGTGTATATATGCAAATATACACGGACCTCTACACGAGAACCCTCCTTGATGTCCTCATCGTTTGTTGTTTTCATAATCTGTTCCCTCTCAGTCCGGGTGTCAACTGAAGATTTTGACCCAACTTCTGGTTCGAAAACTACAGCATTGTTTTTAGCCAAGTCTGCACCTTTAGCCTTTTGTCCCTTTGTTTCCTTTCCAGTGGCAGAAACTGGACCGGATAAACCATCTGCCGTTTTCACATAGCCATCCAACTCAGTCGGCATAGTTCTGGGATTAGCAAAAGTTCCATCACTAGTAGCCACAGTTTCTTTTTCTACCACACCCGTTTTACAGGGCTGCACTTCCTGAGATTCTTGAGCCTGCCTCCAGTAATTACTTGGACCCGCCTCCACCAGCTTACTGAGCAACGGAGGGTGACCCATTGAAACAAGTATCCCAGCTTGTGAAACCGCCTCTGAAGCCAGTTCTGCTGCTTTTACAATAGAATCCATATTCTCAGCTCGCTTGGTGGCCGCTGTGGCAGCTTCAACCCTCTTCTTAGCCGCCTCCCTCGCAGCAATAAGAACCGGACTAGAGCTCACCACTGAACCTTCACCCTTCAAGATAGAAGCAGGGGTACCCTGGCCTTGAATTACAATATCATTTGACCTAAAGAGTTCATTACCCTGATTAGAAGCACTTGGAAGGGATGCTTCTTCAGCCATTAATTTGGCCTGCAATGCAGCATTAGCTGCGACATTGGCGGCAGCCGCTGCAGCCTTTGCCACTGCAGCAGCAGCAGCTATGGCAACAGCAGCCGAAGCTAATCTTCCTTGAGTTTCTGGCTGGAGGCCAGTATGCATTTGTTGCTCTAGCTGCTTCCATACGTATTCACTGTGACTAACAGCTGCAGTAGCAAGAGCAGATGCATCCTCTGCATGCATCTTAGACTCATTAAGTTTATCAATGGTATCCACCGACAAGACAGATCTCTGTCTAACTTCAGGCACAAGGTTACCACCAAAAATTGGGGATGGCAAAGATGACTTCATTTTCTTCCCGGGGAACGTAGATGCCAGGTTCATGGGGGCTGCAGTGATAGAAACAACATTGGACATGGTGCTTGCGTTAGAAAACACATTCGCCGGAGTAGCTGTGATAGGTACAGATGTAGATAAAGAAACAAGAGGTGAGACAGCTAATTCTGTCTGGTTCAGCGAATTCAAAATGCTTGGACCAGACTCCCCAGAGACTGGCATCTTCTTCCGTTTCCTTACTTTCGTCCCAGTGGAATGTTGAGCAGGTGCTCCAACTGTACTGGCTGGCTCAAGTGTTGGTGTCCCTTTGAAAACATTGCTAGAGGTTCCACTCAGAACATGCTTTGCGCCCGAGTAAGGCAAGGATGACTCTTTCGTGGGAGTCAATTTCACAGTTTCAGTGGTTGGGAAAATAGGGAAACGAGAACCAACATCGAAGCCACTGGTTTGCGGAGAAGCAAGCCAATGGTTGCGGTAAGGGAGAGGCGACATCCAAGGGGTATTATGTCCAGCAATATTCGTAATTGGTGGAGTTTGGTGAGCATGCGAGGAAGACAGTAGTAGCTGGTGAGCAGCAGCTGGACCTCTCTGAATGCTACTTGACTGTAAAGTATCAAGGGAAGTTGACAAACTCCATAACGGCGATGAGAGTGGTATAATGGGTTTTGCCGCTAAACTCTCTTTGCTACTGGTTTGGCCCGCTGACGGAGTTTCCATCTTCCCTGAAAATGTAATTTTGGGTATTTAGCTCAAGAATGCAAACAGCAGCAGGGCTGAGAAATAAATCTACGTAGACTTGAAATGCAGAATGAATCAAACTAGAAACCTGCACGTGATTGCAATGGCGTTTCAGGAGTAGAAACATGCAATTTCTGAGCCCTTACAACACAAGCACGCCATGCTTTCTCCCAACTGCCTTTCCCACCATCTAGAGAAGTGAGAGTGAATACACTTTGTCTCAAACGTGGATAACACAATAGGTCAAGGGATAACAATCTAACCTGGACCACCAAATGCAGATATCATATAAGCTTCATCGGGTGCTGTTCCTTGGCTGTAACAGAATAAATAAATAAGACAATCAAACTTTTGCAAGAACTCTGAGTGAGATCGCTCTCGCATCTCACTGATTCAACAAGACTTAAGAGCATGTAAAGACTAACAAAGAACTTACATCAGAGCCCCATAAACAAAAATTTGTGCACGTAGTTGCACTTGTTGCAAGTCTGTGAAAGGTCGACGCAAAATACTTGAGAGAGCAGAAGAATTCAGATCCGGTAGACTTGACATGGGGGCTGAAAGGGTCCCAAAAGCATTTAGAGCAGGGGTCTGAAGACTTTGCTGCTTCTCAGCAGATTGTGTGATATGAGTAGAACAAGCAGAACTTTGATTAACAGCATTTATTTTGCTTCCACTTTGAAAATGCTGAAACGGTGTAGCCCCTTTTACACTATTTCCTTTTCTAGAAGTCTCTTTTCCAGCAGATTTAGATGTTCGCCTTGGTTTACGCTCAGGTTTTGTTTTGGAAGACTTTGCAGCTGATTTCTCTAAGCTAGATGTTGACGGAGATCCCACCACAATCTAGATAATCAAAAACATATGCTACGTAAGGATGACGATAACAAACTTATGCCACAGAATTCGCTTTGACCACTAATGCAAATATGTTAAGATATAAATCGGAGGTACCGGAGAGACAAGGGGAGCTTGTGAAAAGTTAACAGCTTTGGAAACCTCCCCTGCTTTCCTTGGACTGGAATTTAACTTCAGCCCACTGCTGAAGGTCTCATTTCTATTCAAAACCGGAGATTCGCCAGACATAAAACTGGAAATATTCTGATCTTCTGGCTTTTTGACACTGTTTGTCTCTGTCTTATTAAGTTGAAGTTCGGATGTCTCAACAGTGGGGAAAGAAATAAGATGAGTCCCTAAATTTGTTGCAGGGTTTTCCGTTCCAGTCACATGGGACTTTACGAAAGGCTGAGAACTAGTAGAAGCACAGGAATCTCCTACTTTAATTACATCACCTGCAATATCCACAAGGACAGGTACATATTTCTAATGAATGCATCAAAAATTGCACAAATCTTTAAAGAAAGAAAAAAAGCATCGTTCGTTCCAACATCAAGACCTTAAGACTTAGAAGTTTCCAGTTACTGTATTCTTTAAGAAAGAGATTTTTTTTTTACTTAAATATTTCACACATTATTGACTCTATCGTGGGAATTCACAGTATACACACACCTAATATGTATCACCTTCTGTCCTTCATAACATTTTGAAAAAAAAAAAAGCAGAAGAAACTGCAATAAAGTGAAAGTTCCTTGCTGCTATGAAGAACATACAAACTTACCTGTGGGGTGTAAATCCGGAGTCCCCGCTGTCATAATCCCACCGGATGCAGCAGTATTATCCTCTTCCCGGACATCTTCCCCAGCTTCACTCCCAGGATTGGCCAAGGAGCTGGTATTAGGCTTCTCATTTATGCCATCCTTGTCCAAAATTGACTGCGACTCTGCGGAATAAGCAGAGGAAAAAATTATTACTACAACATGAATCAACCCATCAAAGGTTTACAAATCTGACAATATACAAAGAAACAGGCACGTGAAAATACTATGGCCCAAAATAGAAAAACATTACCAGGGACGTTTCCAACTTCTGTTCCTAGATTTTCTTCTAAAACTCTTTCCACAAACTGCTGCGGCAAAACTTCTCCAGCGGCATCACCATCTACCGCATCCTTTGACCCTTCAGAAGCAGGACAGCCTTCGACAAATTGTGTACATTGCTGAGTGTCTTCAGTATGCTTCCTAGGCTGTCGGTCCATATGACTCCCTGAACTACTTGCATCCACAGGTTGACCGGTTTGGCCATTTTCAGGCTCCCCAGTTGAAACCTTCTCAGTTTCAGAGAAACTGCCTTGCTCATTCGCATCAGACGATGTATTCACCACATGTAAATCTATTGAAGATGTGAGACTGGCAGCAGATGCTCCATCTTGGTTTATATGTTGTACTTCATCAGTACTGAGAGGACATGCTTCACATTCTTTACCGTCAATCATAGTCCCTGCGAAAGAAAAATGTATACACATACAAATTTAGGAGGTTTTATACAAGTAATCATGATAATCATTTGCAGCAAGCGGCAGTACACTAACCCCAAAAGATAATAAAAATTGAAAATATATAAAAAAAAAGGTACCCATAGTATGAAAGCTGAGTATAATATCAAAATGATTAGAGAATATGATTACCTGACTTGTCCGCTGGAATGGTGTCAGACTGAGATTTTGACTCCACCAGCTTGGAAGCAGAGTCTACTAAAATATAGCCAACAGAGCCGGACACAACGCTTTCAGATAGCATCTGAGAGCTCTTGGCGTCCGGATCTCCATCATTGGCATTGACAGCCAATTCCATGCTTTGGTTGAGATTAGACACGCGAGCACTACCTTCATTATTTTCACCCTTCTTAGACACATCACCTTTTGTGGATTCAACCATTGTGTCCATTTGTGAAACATAAACAGTTTCTGAAGTCTCAACTAGAAGTATCTGTGTATGTGTCTCAGTCAGCGAAGTAGACTCATGTTCACTTGCAATAACTTCCATATGTTGCTGACTAGGCGGCTCAAGCTTCTCCATGTAACAACTGCTTGTTAGAGTGGTTAATTCCTCGGCAAGTTCCAAAGATGCTTCACCAGTTGCACTAGTATGAGCACTGCTGACAAGGAGATCTTGGCATTGGGTCCCTGAAACATCTTGTCCACCTACCTCTAGAGTAGAGATTGCTTGGTCCCCTTTTTCAAGTGCTGTGACATCAGATGGCTCCATCTCCATCAAATCAGGCTTTTCAGTTTCACCAAAGTTTTCAGCTTCCACATTTCCAACTTCGGAAGCTGTGTCTACATGCCTATCACAATGAGCCTCAGCCAAAACTGATGGTGCCTCTACAGTTAAATCATCGCGGTTATGACTACTTTGATTGTGCTCGCTGATATCAATTCCATCATTGAAAGTCTCTGGCAGCAAAGTCGTCTGATTATTCAACTCATCACTACAAGGAACCCCAGCCTGCACAGTTCCGTCGCTACAGTCGATTTCCATCTTTGATTCTGCGTTAGCTTCGTCTTCTGTTTGGTTAAGAAGACTATCAGTCGTCTCAGTTCCTATCTTATCATGACCAACAGCATCCACATCCTCTACAGTTGCAGTATTTGTATTTGAAGCCAAAACGGCATTATTTTCCTTCATGGATGACTCTTCCGCAACGGTTTGGTCAAGAAGACTATCAGTCGTCTCAGTTCCTATCTTATCATGACCAGGAGTATCGAGAGGCTCTAGATTCGCTGTATTTGAAGCCAGAACGACATTATTTTCCTCCAAAGATGACTCTTCTGCAACGGTTTGGTCAAGAAGAGTATCAGTCGTCTCAGTTCCTATCCTATCATGACCAGCAGTATCCACAGCGTCTACAGTCGCGGAGTTTGTAGCCAATATGGCATTATTTCCCTCAATAGATGACTCTTCAGCAAGGGTATGGTCAAGAAGACTATCAGTCGTCTCAGTTCCTATCTTATCAAGACCAGCATTATCCATAGCCTCTACAGTTGCGGCATCTGAAGCCAAAATGGCATTTTTTTCCTCCATGGATGACTCTTCCGCAACGGCTGGTGAGTCATCTTTCACCAGGACCTGTTCGTGTCCAGCATTCAAAGAGGGGTCTCCTGGAGTATCATCCACAGAAGCGATGGGATGTACGTTTGCTGTTTCCTCATTGGCAAGACTATTCTCATGGTTTGTCTGACCAGGCTCCGATTGTTCCATTGTGCACACTAGTTCATCCAAAGTATCAGATTTCTTGATAGTATTCTCTCTTACAATTACTTCGTCCTGACCAACTGAATTCAAAAGCATTTCAACAGATTCCAACGAAGTAGCCTCAGACCAAACATTAGTATGCCTTGAAATGGCACAGGACTCCGTTGCACCTGAACTAAACACTATACCACTACTTCCACGCGAGAAATCTTCAATCCAGTTACTATCTTCGTTACCCTCGATACCAAGAAAAACCTCAGATTCACCTAAATTGTCAAACCTCAAATGCGTGTTGAGGGTATCATCAAAATCAAACTTTGGAAGAGCATAAGGCTGTAATACTGGGGGAAATTTATTGTTAGCTTCACCAGCTAAATGGAGGTTCTGGTTTTGAAAGTCATTGTCATCATACTCCATGGGTTTGTTCCTGAAAACAGGATGAACAACAACAAAAAGAAGATGTGTAAATCAAATTACAAAGAAAAAAAAAAGACTCTGGTCACAGGTCACTTCAAGTCGAGTGATTCAAACAGTAGGAAACGAAAAGTACCGAGAAAAGAGTGTATGGAGACGCTACCTCCCTCCATTCGGTGACAAAAACCTGGCCGTGTCAGACCTCAGCTATTCCCTAATCGCACGTTCATCTACTGCTCCACCAAAACAACAGCAAACGCGTCAATATCTTCTCTCTCACATCCAAGGGAAGCGTTGCGTCAACGAAGACCTAACTCGGTGAACCCACGAAAGAAAATTAAACTGAAACGGTGGTAAAGGAGTTAAACTCACCGGAAAATTCAAACTGATGGAGTCGACCTAGGGTTCCGGCGAAGAAATGAGGTTTGGCGAGAGTGAAAGCAGATTGTGAGAGGAGGATCGATAAAATTATTCGCTTTTCTCGGCAAATGTAAAGTGTTTAAGTAAAGCCCAAAATAAATTAAAAACGCCAATAAAAATACATTTGGAGAGAAATAAAGATGGATGCTGAAGCGGCTAAATCCAGACTGACACGTGTCGGATTTACTGGATCCTGCGGCTAAAAATTGAATTCAACAAAACAGGCGACCGGCTTTTACTTTTTAACGTACGATAAAATTCATTGGTCTAAAAAAGTAAAATCTCTTTTGTTTGACGACGAAGGGAAAAGAAAGTAAAAAAGTTCAGTTAAAAGAAAATATAATGACCGAGAGGTAAAAAATCATCTATTTTGTTTTGTTTGACGACGAAACGCGAGGTAAAAAGTTAAAAATGCTTTTTTTGGTCGAACAAGTTAAAAATGCCTAAATGTTGAAACGACTGCTGGGTTAATGGAAGTTGATTGGCTCTACGAAATGGAAAGTGTTTTTAAGGATAAAATCAGAGAAGGACATGATTGTCACTACGTGACTATAGTCAGAGGCTTATGTGTATTGGGCAATTGACGGTCTGGATTTACCTGGGGAAATAGTTTTGGACCGTCATATTAAACTCATAACCCCTTTTTAATGAAGTATATTGGGTTATTTATAAGGGTTTTGGCCCATATTTGTACTCCATAAGCTCAAACTATCTATCTACTTATCTAGTGTTTCAGTAAGTTATTTTATTTGAAAGGTAGCGTAGAAGTGCAATTGGTTTAATCCAGTTCGGATTTTCAGTTCAGAAAATGAAAATTTCTCTGGTTAAATTCGGTTTGATTTGAATAAATTTTGGTTTGACTAGGATTCAAATTTGGTATGGTTATTGACAAATATTTATAGCAAAAATGAACACAATTAATTAATTCTAACATATTAATTTTTAATATATTTAAATGTGATTTTTCTATATATATGATTACAAATATTTGATTGAACTTCGGTTAGTTTGATTCGGTTAGAGATTCCGCCCAGTCAGATGGTTGTGGGTATAAAAACATATGTCAGGCATTGGTTTAAAATCTAGGAAAGAGCATTCCATTTCGTTGTGATATTGCAATTTCATTAAAAAAAATTACAAAAACTATATACTCAAAACCATATACCAGAAAATGTTACTTTGATACTAATGGGGCAGAGAAAGTAATTAAAAAAAACTATCTGCTCTGCAAATTTATTCATGATGCTATTTTGGATTTGAAATGTCAAATTTGTCATGGGTTGAGTGCTGATGATCGGCTTATTTCACTTTGTAGAGACTCACAAACTGACATAATACCAAAACTTTAAATATAAATATGAGTATTACTAAATTATTTTCGTTAAATGTGTCAACATGAATCTAATGATGCGATTTTAAACTTAACTTCAACTATTTACAAGTGTTGTCGATTAAGTATCATTCTACCAACACATAGGATTACAAATTCAAAATGCGTGTTGGGCAAATAAATAAAGATATATTTTTTTATATGTCAAAACTAAAATTTTTGTGCACAATGAATGTTCCAGATGGTCCTTATGTTAAGTTGAAGGTTAAAAAAGGACTCGGCGATTTCCACTTAAAACAAATGATCATTGAGGATAAGTTCATTTATTTTCTTGATTTTGTTGTTTTGAATAAGACGTAATACTTAGATTCTTGATGTATTTTTTTGCAGGTGCCAAAGATAATATTGTGGATATCAATTGTGTATTAAATCTGTCCACAACGACAAAAAGAAATATCAATTAATTTTCTTTTTCTTTGGAAATCTGTATGAAAAAAATACAACATAAAAATGTTGTAAAGATTATTGGGCGACAGACTTAGTACCACTCAAAGTAGTCATCATGACAGACCTCATGAGATGGTCTTAGCCAGAATATTCTTTTGGAAAGCATATATTTATTGAAAGCAGCCCCGAACATCTCCAAAGGGATGTCATGTTTGATTCAACATGATACATGTAATCTAATATACTATATATATATAAGAATTGACCATGGAATTAGTTAGCTCAAGTTATAATTTTTTTTCGTTTAAAATGGTAAAGATTGTAGATTCATTTAAGAAGAATATGTATATATATATATATTTATATTTATATATGCAATCTTAGACTAAAAATGAACCCAATTAATATAGACCATGGTCTTTGACTACGGCAATTCATTAATCTATCTATTATCTATCTATTATATTAAAACAAAAGTACTTTTAGTACTTGTTTCCAAACACTCCCAAAGTTTTTTTATTTAAAAAAAAAACAGTTTTAAAATTATCCTAATTTATTGCAATATTATTTTAAAAAACATATTTTCTTTTATATAAAAATTTAATTCCGAAAATTAGATATTAATTTAAATAACTAAAGATTTCTTTAAATATAGGTTATATTTAATTTAAAATTCAAACTATTTTTTGTAATAACATTAATTTTAAAAATAAATATTAATTTAAATTACTTTAGATTTCCTTAAATATAAGTCAGATTTAATTTAACATTTAAATCCAAATAATATTTTCAGGATAACAAATATAATTAATCAATACCTTATTTTTTTAATCATATTCAATCAGACAAAAATTTTACATATTGAAAACAGATAAATATAAATATTATATGATAATTTGATGGAATAGGTTATGTTATTTTTATAATTGTGGTCTTGTGAGGGTTAGTTTAAAACATACAAGATATTAAGATAAATATTATTTCAAAATTAGTAAATATTTATATTATATAGTAATATGAACAGACGGATTAGAATTATAGTTTTATAACCATGGTTTTTTGGGATTAATAGAATGAGTGAATTATAAATATGTTTTTACAATAATGTTCATATTTTGATTAATAGAATGATCGGGTTAAAATTATGTTTTTATAATTGTGGTCATAATAATACTAAAAAAAAAAATTATATCAAAACATAAAAATAAATCTTTTTAGCACTTATTAAAAAATTATATCTATAAAAAAATACATTACAAATTTTGATTAAAAAAAATTCTCGTGCAGATACACGGGTAAAATCTAATTACTTTGTAAAATAGTTTCGAACCGTCAGATTAAACTCTTAAAAGCTTTTATTAAATGAAGCATATTAGGTTATTTTTAAGGATTTAGGCCCATATATGTATTCCATAAGTGGCTCAACTCAAACTAGCTAATGATTCGGAAGATTTAATTTACAGTATTTAAGTTAGCGTAGAAGTGCAAAATATTATAACGGTTTAGATCAGATTTTCAGTTAAAAAAAATGAATTTTTATTCTGGTTTACTTCGGTTCGATTTGAATAAACTTTGGTTCTATTTGAATAAATTTCGTTTTGATCAAAAATTCAAATTCGGTTTGGTTTTAGATAAATATATTTATAAGAAAATAAACACAATTAGTTTAATCTATAAATTTCAATATATTTAAATGTGATTTTTGTGCATAAGTTGATTACAATTTACAAATATTGATTGAACTTCGGTTAGTTTGATTCCGTTCGAGATTTTTGCCCAGTCATATATGGTTGTGGGTGGAAAAACATCTATCAAGCATTGGTTTAATCTAGGAAAGAGCATTCCATTTCGTTGTGATATTGTGATTTCATAAATATATACTTAAAAGTTAAAACCATATACTAAAATAATGTTAATTTGATATTGTTCGACCAAAAAAAAATGTTACTTTAATAGTGGGACGGAGAAAGTAATTAAAAAACAACCATCCGCCCTGCAAGTTTATTTAATGTCACCATCATTGTGGAGCACCTTTCTATAATTTCATATTTTCATTCTCATGTCTCTAACACACCAACTCCAAACAAAAGGTATTTGATTCAACTCCTAATCCATACTAATATTTTAGGCTTTTAGCACCTCCCATAGTAATAAAATAAAATCGTAAGAAAAAAAGGAATACGACAATTATCATAATTGGTGTGAACGGCATTAGTTTAAATGCAGGATTAACATGACAACAGAACACACTTATCTTCACATATTATGAAATACGTTATCCATCATTTTCTTTGCCTTTTTTAAAATACTTATATATTTGTCGTCCTATAATCATTCGATGTCACTAACCATCATATACAAGCTGAATAGTCTAAATAATAGGCGGTTTGGGCGGCATCCAATGGTGACCTGCCACGTAGTGTAAGACCAACAACTTCACCCTACATCTTTGCTATATAAACACGAGCATGAAAAAGCACAAGCCACAATAACCACATAAAAGAGCTTGTAATCATCAACCAGAGAGTCAAAAGAGTTCTATTAGCTTTTATACATCAAAATGGTGAAGATTGCGATTGGAAGTTTGGGTGATTCATTTAGCGTCGCGTCACTAAAGGCTTACTTGTCTGAGTTTATCGCAACTCTTCTCTTCGTCTTTGCTGGCGTTGGCTCTGCCCTTGCCTTTGGCAAACTAACATCCGATGCAGCCTTGGACCCGGCTGGTCTTGTCGCTGTGGCGGTGGCTCACGCATTTGCTCTTTTCGTCGGTGTTTCCATAGCCGCCAACATCTCAGGTGGACACCTTAACCCCGCCGTGACACTAGGCCTCGCCGTCGGCGGCAACATCACAATCATCACCGGTTTCTTCTACTGGATTGCTCAGTGTCTTGGCTCCATCGTCGCTTGTCTCCTCCTCGTCTTCGTTACCAATGGCGAGGTACACCAAAACATACTTGAATACAAAACGACCGTGACTAAAAAATGTTGTGGCGGTCTAAAAGTCCGGTTTGATTTATAAGGTAATGATTAACCGAGAATTTTGTTTTATTTCCCGGTTATGTAGAGCGTACCGACCCATGGTGTAGCAGCCGGTTTAGGAGCGGTGGAAGGAATAGTGATGGAGATTGTGGTGACTTTTGCTCTGGTCTACACAGTCTACGCCACGGCGGCTGATCCAAAGAAGGGATCGCTAGGGACCATAGCTCCGATTGCCATTGGTTTCATCGTTGGTGCTAACATACTCGCCGCCGGTCCATTCAGCGGTGGCTCTATAAACCCGGCCAGGTCATTTGGACCAGCTGTTGTCAGTGGTGACTTCTCTCAGATATGGATCTACTGGGTGGGTCCACTCGTCGGTGGTGCACTCGCTGGACTTATCTACGGTGACGTCTTCATCGGATCATACGCTCCGGCTCCGACCACAGAAAGCTACCCTTGATCAATATCCTCTACGGTTTTTACTCTGTTTGGTTTCTTGAGCCTCAGTATCTGGCTATCTGCTTTTGGTACTTGTGAAATGTTTGGTCCAATTTCTTCCGGTTATGAATGATTGAATGTGGAGAAAAACGATCAAAGTTGTATTTCCTTTGGTTAATAATAAGAATTGTACATTTTTCAGATTTTTTTTATGGAGAAAAACTTGCTTGGATGTAAAACAAATTTTCGGTTAATCGTACCTATTTTATTTAAAAAAATAGGTTCTCTGTTAATCCAGAAGTATGTTAGTAAAATCGTTTTATAATCGAATAATGGCTCAAAAGAACCTATTTTTTTTAGTCTCCAAATAAATACTCGTTCACAATAATACTCCTAATTATGATTTATGATATTCTAAGTTTCTTATTGATGAACACATCATTTTTTCATCTCTAGTCAAATGGTTTAAGACCACAAATTTTATTCCTCTCATGGGAGTAAGAATCCACTTGTGGCGACTGGTGAGTTAAAAAATATGATTGGTGCACATTAGAGTAAATTAGTAGAAAGTTAAAAAAAAATAGAGATTAGATTAGAGAATAGGCTTCCTTGCGTGATACGGCTCAAGATAACGTGGTCGACCTATTCTCACTCTCTATCATCAAATCAAGTAGAAAAGCTTATAACAACAACTTAAATTGGTAATGCATTAAACTTTTTGAAAATAAAAAAAAAATTATTGAAGTAAAATGGTGAAAAAAGTAGGTTACTTATTTCCTCTTTTAAGCTTTAGAGGAAAGAGACGAGACGATGCACATTTCTTTATTTTCAACAGTTACAATGTTACATAACAGAAAAGAAAGAAGAATATTGTTCACTGTACTTATCACCTTTAAGTGAAATATAAAAGTAAAAAAATGTGCTTCTTATTATTTTTCCACTAAAAAGGTCAACTAGTCATATCTGAAAAGATTTATTTTTTGACAATATTGACATGGTTAAGTAGTTAATCTGAAAAGTGAAAACACATATACTACATATTTGTGGAATCTTTCAAAGATAAAATATGTTTGAAAATTTGAAAAAAAAAAAAAAAACAAATGAAAGAGTTCTTTCATATTGCTCAAGAATGACCAATCTTTCCCTATCTCAGGCCCATTTGAAACCCATTTAAATTACAAGACTCAAACCTGTACATGATTAGTCTTATTGGCTCGAGAAGCTTTTGTTTAATTGCTTGGGTACTCAACGGTTTGGATACGAAGGTGATAATTAAATAGAAATGGTAGATAGAAAACACACTCCAAAAAGTAATCCTTGAAACAACTCAAATGATAAGAAGAGTACATTAAACTAATTAGCCTCTTATACTTTTACGTATGATTATTATTTGGAGGAGGTGGTCGGCTTGGGGGGAATGAATCGTGTGAGGAGCCGTCCGGTCAAAAGACAAAATCTCTCAAACCAATGCATTTGTCGCCTCTTTGTGGTTTCACAAACCGTCCCACCAGATTAAGATATTACCTCATTTCATGGACAATGTTCTTAAACCACAAATAATATCCTCTTTCTCTTACTCTCTCACTCTCTCACTCTATCCACACATAGTATATAAGAACATGGAGACGAGTTCCTAAATCTTTAAGCCTCTTTTTGGTGATTAAACACTCATTCAGATTTTTATTGTAATCTACATCATTTGTTAGTCCGCACGTACTTTTGGAAACTTGTGGTTTGAATAATTCTCGCTCATTAAACAAAAAAAGAAAAAAAGATTCTCTCTCTCTCTCTCTCTCTCTTATTGTAGTTTTGGTTTATGCTCTTCCTCTTCTCTTCCACCTGAGTCAACATCATCCTTTTCATCTCCAAAAGTTATTCCTTTTTCTTATTTTCTCTTTTTTAATAAAAGTTTACAGTTCATTTCCAAGTTTTATTTCTGAAACTCAAAGCTGGTTCCTCTGTTTTTGTCACATGGTTTTCCATCAGAACATAATAATAACTCTTACACCACCAGGGCAATAAATATCCTTTCTTGTGATCTCACGTCATCTTTTCTCATATCCGACAAAACTTCATTTTCAAATCGGAAGATTCAAAATGGAAAGTGGGTTTTATTCAGATTGGAAGGATACTTCTTCTTCCTTGTTTGGATCAGAGAACATGGAGGAAGAGTTGGAAGATGGAGTTCTCAGAGCTGAAGAGCTTTTCTCATCGATTCCTCAGCCTCAGACACCAAAAGAGCCAATGGAGTTTCTGTCCAGATCCTGGAGTCTCTCTACTTCTGAAATCTCCAAAGCACTTGCACTCAAACACAGACAACAACAAGAACAGTTTTGTGCTGCCCAAAACACTCCTCCTGTCTTGTTTTCTGATGGTGCTGCAGATCCACTCGTGGTACGATACATTTTCCTTATCCCTTTCCCAAATTCTGATCAAACCCACTTTTCTCAGAATCATGGAGAGCCTTAAAGTCAGAGACTTTTTCTTTTTTTTCATTTGTATCTGACAATTTCACCACTTTTCAACATAGTTCTTGGGAATTGGAATAGATATAAAACATTGGATTCAAAAATATTGGATTTTGATTTTCAGGCTGGGAAGATCATGAACTCGTTGGGCACACGCAGAGCAGGGACATTATCCAAATGGTTTCACCACCACAAGGAACACAGCAGCAGCAGCAACACCACCAACTATCTCAAGAAGAAAGACAAGGCACGTGTTGAGAACGCACACGTGCATTCTGCAGTCTCTATAGCCGCTCTGGCTGCAGGTTTAGCCTCTGTGACCTCTGCAAGCAATTGCAAAGGCTCAGGCTCCAAGATGGCTCTGGCTCTGGCCTCAGCCACCGAACTGTTGGCCTCACACTGTGTTGAGATGGCTGAGCGAGCCGGTGCTGACCGTGCACGTGTTGCTTCCACGGTTAGATCTTCTGTGGATATCCACAGCCCCGGTGATCTCATGACTCTAACCGCCGCGGCTGCAACTGGTAAGGCTATATTGTTGAAAAGTTTAGGCTATCTAGCAGCTTGGAATGCATTTGATCTGATTTTGTCTAAAACGGAACCTAGCTTTGAGAGGAGAAGCGGCTTTGAAGGCGAGGCAGCCAAAGGAAGCAAGGAAAAACGCAGCTATTACACCTTTCGAGAGAAGCTTCTCTGACTCTCATTGGCCTGCAAATTTTCAGTTTAGACTGGAAGAGCCAAATATTCCAATTGAAGGTGAACTGATGCAATGCGCACGAAATGGTAAATTCTCTTCTGTATGTGATACTCTAATCAAATGAAGAGTCCAGTGAGATAAGACAGAGAGCTTAACTCTTCTTCCTTGTGCTAAAAAACTTGCAGGAGTGCAGCGAACTAAGCGTGTCTGTGTTTATATCAACAAGAAGTCTCAGGTACAGCAGATTTTATTAGTATCCATAACACACAACACATCGCAGTTCACTTCTTATCCAATACTTATTTTGCTACTTATGATTTTGCAGGTAATAATCAAACTCAAAAGCAAACATGTTGGAGGGGCATTCTCCAAGAAGGTCAAATGTAAGCATTTCTAAATCTTTCAGTTCAGATAATTTACCTGAAAGACGGACACATTCTGAACCTGTTGTTCCTTTCTGAAGGCGTTGTCTATGGAGTCTGCGATGAGAAATCAGCTTGGCCTTACAGGAAAGAGAGGGAAAATTCAGAAGAAGTCTACTTTGGTCTGAAAACCGGGCAAGGCCTTTTGGAGTTCAAGTGCAAGAACAAGATTCACAAGCAGAGATGGGTTGATGGGGTTCAGTCTCTTCTCCGCCAAGTAAATTGCTTCGAGGCTGCCAAATGCTCGCTGGGATCTCTGAGTCTCACCGGTCACACGTGATCCAGGATCCTGTGTATATCTGATTATATACATACATATATCCACATTTTTGCTGTTGTGATGTATTTGCAAAACTTGGCAATGTACAATCTCAGTCTCTGTAACCTAAGAGGACTTTTGGATAAAACACAACAGGTTTTTCAAAATGATCACATCAAGTGGTAGGAACCAATTGCTATGTACATAAATACATCAGAAGAGAATGATGGATCTCAACTGAACCTTTTATTTCCAATGAATTCAATTTATGATTTGCTATGAAGAACCATAGCAAACATTTTTTTTTTTTGCTATGAAGAATCAAAAATATTGTAGAGAAGTAGTAGCTAGTATGTATAACCTTTCTTGCATGAAGAATCAGGTGAGAGACATGTCAGAGATTTCATGTTGGCCGTATTAGAATACGACAGTCTTTTGTGTCCCGTAAGGCAATACCCGCAGTTCACAATAAGATTTAATAGCTTTCATGAGGCACTTTTTCTCGAGATCCTCTGATTTCTGGACAAAGCTTCTCAAGTTGTCTCGGTGGGAAACTCTCTCAACCTGCAAAACTCAAATTGAGACATTGCTGAAGAAAAATGCAACCCTCAGAAAACATTAACTAGTAGGGAGATGAATCGATCACCATTTGTTCAATGATGGGACCTGAATCAAGTTCCTCTGTAACAAAATGAGTTGTTGCACCAATTAGTTTCACACCTGCATCAAATGCCTACCAACAGAATCTAGAAGAGTAAGAAGCAAAGACGAGCAGTGAGAGATAAGGACCGGACTAAATATAAACAAACATAACTCAGGAATCAAAGAAGCCAGAAACCTGTTTCGCGGGACTTCGCCCTTTGAATGATGGCAAGAGGCCATGATGGATATTGATTACATCTTTTCCATAACCTTTCAAGAAGTTACCAGACAGTAGCTGTCAAAGGAAAATCATCCGTCAATGATTTATCTTTTGTTAATAAAGCAGTTCAATAGCTTTCATGAGGCAATAAGCTAATGCTATGAAATTTCATCTGTAAATGAATTTATGCTTCTTTGCAGGAACAGCTTTATTAACAAAGGAAAATGTCACAGTCTTGTATGAAAATTCTTTTGTTAATAAAGCTGTTTCTGCGAAGAAGCATGAATTCAAAGCAAGAACTGCCTTAGGAGAAATCACTATTCATTTTTTCGCTTGTAACAAAGAAGACGCAAGCAAACTGAAATACACATTCATCAGAATGAGACTATCTAGAACAATGATTCCCTCACCATTTCGTTTAAATAGAAGAAAACGAGCTTAGTATGGGGCTGAAAATCTGATATATGTACCTGCATATATCTAGCGAGAAC